AAGTGCCTATGCACCAACACTAGATGCTGACGAAGACATCAAGGAGAAATTCTACTGTCAGCTGGACACCGTCCTATCGGGGATACCTAAGGAGGACAAAATCATCCTCCTGGGGGACTTCAATGTAAGAGTCGTAGACACTGAGAACTGGGAAGACATGGCCCTTGAGCGCTCCAGCTGGAGCTCAGCTGTGACCAGCAGTGCTGCAGAATTCGAGGAGGCACGAGTGGAGGGTGAAAGAGAGAAAAGTGCCAAGAAGAAGGCAGGTCAAGCCAACCCTGTCTGAGACCTCCTTCCACCTGGAAACCAATGCCCTCACTGTGGGAGAAGATGCAAGGCAGTTATTAGGACTGGCTTAATGCCTATGGTTCATTCAAATGTTGGTTTACAAAGATCACTCAGGAAGTACAATTGTGAGCTTTTAAAAATAAATATCCACCAAATCACCACTATGGCATTGAATACAAATGCTTAATGATTAAAGCATTTGTATCCCACCATTTAGTCAAAAGGTTTCCTCAAGCTTCTTAGCTCTTCTAGATGACATGTCTGTACGTATAGTCGCGTAGGTAACACGCGCAAGTGTTCAGTGATTCATGCAATCATATTTCACCTTCTCGCCTATCGCCATAGCAATTATCGCTTGCAAAGCTTCTTCACTCTGCTGCTAAGCACCCTCCGTCTTATCTTCGTGTTACTACCCCCGACGCCAGCCCCCCTGTACCTCACTTCTTCACTCCTTCTCTGGCCGGTGCCTCACTACCGACAAAACACACGTTCTCACATGCGCTCTCCTATTCACACCTACCTAACCTTCTATGAGCCAAATCTCGCTGTTACCATCAGTCTCCCCCTCTTTCCTATGTTACATCTCACACCATCTTCAATCACAGTTTCCAGTCCGCAAATCTTTACCCCCAGATACATACCAAGCTCACTAACAGCTACGACAAACTCGTCCTCACAAATACAAATCCTAAATCAAACCCGCACACGTAAGCCGTCTATTTCGAAGTCTCCAGACATACATAATATAGCATTCTAGAAGTCTGAAAGCAACTCTGACACAGTGCTACGTCTACCGGGATCACACAGCAATCCGAGACATTTCCATTATATCTGTAGCGTGGGTTTATATATCTGTGGAATGGCTGGGGTGGGGCAAGGAGCTCTTCCCTGCTGCAGTTAGGTGTGAATGTTTCAGCTGATCACCTTCATTAGCATTTGAAGGCCTGCCTGAGCCTGGGAAAATCTCTTGCTGGGAGGTGTTAATCTGTGCCTGGTTGTTTCCTCTCTGTTGTTTTGCTGTTGTAATTTTAGAGTTTTTTAATACTGGTAGCCAGATTTTGTTCATTTTCATGGTCTCTTCCTTTCTGTTGAAATTGTCCACATGCTTGTGGATTTCAATGGCTTCTCTGTGTAGTCTGACATGGTGGTTGTTGGTGTGGTCCAGCATTTCTGTGTTCTCAAATAATATGCTGTGTCCAGGCTGGTTCATCAGGTGCTCTGCTATGGCTGACTTCTCTGGACAGAGTTACTCTTAATATACTTAGTTTAATATTCCAGGCCATTTCCAAGTCTTATTTAGACCTATTAATTTTTCATTTCCACTCAACATTTCTGTACTGTCCTTTGTTATAAGATTGCCCCTTCTTTTCATAATATATCTCAAATAGTGATTTCTGCCACTATAGTCAAGTTAACAAATAAACCTCGGGATCTAAAACCACTTTGAGTCCCCCCAGGGGTGAGAAAGGCGGTATATAAATACTGTAAATAAACAAGTAAGTAAGTAAATAAAATGACCAGTATGGTATTGCTAATTTATGTTCTGCAGGACCTTGTTTTTTTAAAATTTGTTTTTATAAAAACGTGTTGCATGAGCATGATCACCAAAATACATATATTAAAAAAAACCTTCCAATCACTGTTAAATTTTTGTTTGTTTTTGTTTACTATATGCATGGCTACTTGGTTGAAAGACTACAACTACTTAATAATGTTACTTGTCTCTTGTATTATTCTGTTTTTTCTTCATATATAATAATTATAATTATAATTACAATTATAATAATTATTATTAAAGGTAAAGGTTTCCCCTGACATTAAGTATAGTTGTGTCCAACTCTGGGGGGTGGTGCTCATTCAATTTCTAAGCTGAAGAGCCGGCGTTGTCGGTAGACACCTCCAAGGTCATGTGGCCAGCATGACTACATAGAGTGCCGTTACCTTCCTGCCAAGTCAGTACCTATTGATCTACTGACATTTGCATGTTTTTGAACTGCTAGGTTGGCAGAATATGGGGCTAACAGCGGGAGCTCATCTCGCTCCCTGGATTCAAAACGCCAGCTTTTCAGTCAGCAAGTTCAGCAGCTCAGTGGTTTAACCCACTGTGCCACCATGGGGCCAATAATAATAATAATAATAATAATAATAATAATAATAATAATAATAATAATAATGTATTACCCGCCTCTCTCTGCGGCTTGTGGCAGTATGCAATGACATTAAAACAAGAGATAAAACACCATTAAAAGACATGCAGCAGGATACACAGACTTAAAATCCAAGATAAAATCCACTAATAAAATGCAGATTAAAATTCACAAAATGGACTGGGTAGGCCTTTCGGAACAGACGGATCTTCAATTTTCTCAGATTGTCTTTCATCCTTAGCTTTATCCAAGTTATTTCAGGATATAATCTAGTCTTTTGGTCTGTCTAGTACCCATCACAATTTGAAAATTTGGGACATCATCTATTTTACTTTCTCCATCCATTGAGTTTGGTGGTGCACCAGGACTCTTTGGTAGAGAAGGCTAAAGACCAGGGGTCCTCAAACTACGGCCCGGGGGCCGGATACGGCCCTCCAAGATCATTTATTCAGCCCTTGCTCAGGGTCAATCTAAGTCTGAAATGACTTGAAAGCACACAACAACAACAACAACAACAACAACAATCCTATCTCATCAGCCAAAAGCAGGCCCACACTTCCCACTGAAATACTAATAAGCTTATATTTGTTAAAATAATTTTTTATTTTAATTATTGTATTGTTTTAAAGTGTTTTTGCAGTACAAATAAGATATATGCAGTGTGCATAGGAATTCATTCATTTTTTTTTCAAATTATAATCCGGCCCTCCAACAGTTTGAGGGACTGTGACCTGGCCCTCTGTTTAAAAAGTTTGAGGACCCCTGCTAAAGACCTTGTAAAACTCCAGTAATGAAAGAAGTAGCATACATTGACAGTATTTTACAAAATAATCAAAATAATCGTTTTGCAATAAGCAAATAAAATAAGAAGCACATGGTATAATATGAGTGGACTATGTGCTTGCATCCTTCAGGTGATTTATTCTGGTTCTCTGTAGAGTGGTTGGTACGAAGTGTTACCATTCTGTTTTCATTGGGGATATTTCCTTTATTGGAGTTTTTTTCTGTCAGGATATTAAATTACCTATTTCTGCTATTAATGTTTGCCCTTACTGCAGTTAAACACTCATTTTTCTTCAGGATTTATGTTTGTTTCCTACATTTTTGGATTCACACAGTGTTTTTTAAGCTGGAAATCAGTTGTACTACCTTTTTAAGGATCCAGAAATGTTGTTTATTTTATTTTTACAGAAATGGAAATCTGTCATACAATTAAACTGTGTTCAGCTGCATTTGAACATACATTTTCTGGCTCCAGATATTAAAGTATTGTGAAATATCTTTCAGTCTTTACGCAAAAAATCTGAATTTAGATCCCCTTGGAATTCTTGTTGGTTGGACCAGTATCTGAGAACTCAGTCAATACAGGGTGTTCGTTTCTTTTTATTCTCACCTTTTTAGGTTACTGTGTATACCTATGTTTTTAATGTTTTTATGACAAATATTTTTAATGTTTATGTATGCATATATTTTATTTATATCCCAGCATTGAATGTTTTCCATTTATATGTTGTGCTCCGCCTTGAGTTCCCTACAGGGTGAGAAGGGCAGAATATAAATGCTTTAAATAAATAATAAATAAATACCTCAGAAAGGTACTTAAAACAACCAGCAACACTTTACATATGACTCGTTAAGAATAAAACCACCATGTAAAATTCATTTTGTTTTGTCCTCTGTTTTCTTTTACTTAAGAGTGAAAGTCTAACCTTGCATATCCTGAATTGGTAGCAAATATTTGAAATAATCATTTAGACAAGGCTTCAGGCAGCCACTGTTGACTTTATTGCATATTGTAGGTTTTCATGTATGCCTCTACCACTTTTGTAATATTTCTATAGAAGTGAAACTTGATTAATGTAAACTGAGAGAGAGTGCTCACTCTGAATGCATTGCTCCTTCTTAAAGTTATGAGTTGCTTAAGGCTTTCACATCTGGAATCACTAGGGTGTTGTATGGTTTGCAGGCTTTATAGCCGTGTTCTAGCAGCATTTTCTCCTGACATTTCAGCCATTTCATTACAATACATATTAACCATTGCTATACAAATGTGTTGCATGTAGTGTAAACATGTTGGCCTGAAAATATACCCAGTGGGTTTCCATTATGGGAAGTTTTAGTATACTAGACAATAAGATGCTGTTTCTGCGTGTTTTCTTTAAGAAAAGACTCTAATTCTCTAAGTATTCCAGGAACTTGCAGAACTTGTTTTCTCTCCAGAAACAGCCTAAGTTCTTCCCTTGGAAGTGAGATAAATGAAATCCTCTAAAAACCGACAAAAATTGTGATATGCAGCATTTAGTTAGTGTAGCTGAAAAAGTATATTCCGCAGTGCCAGTCAGTCAAATCAGATAGTGTGGGGACTCCATGCAGAAGATGATTTATTTATATATCTGTGAATGGAAAATTAGATTTGAGAGTGACCCATGGGACATTATATTTGGATGTGATCAGTTTGGCCTTATGCATGGTTTCTGTTACTGTCAAGATGGCTGGTAACGTAACTGCTGTACCTTCACTTAATGGAACCTTTCAGCCTAATTCTTGAACATTGGTCCCTTACAGATGCCACCACAAATGAACAGCAAGATCTCTTCTGTCAGAAATTACAGCAATGTTGTGTATTGTTTGATTTCATGGACTCTGTTTCTGACTTGAGGAATAAAGAAATAAAAAGAGCAACACTGAATGAACTGGTGGAATATGTTTCAACCAATCGTGGTGTGATTACCGAATCAGCATATTCTGACATAGTGAAAATGGTAGGTGAAACTTCTTAAAATGTTGCTTTTCTTTTGAAGACTTCTAAAAATTAAACGCAGTATTACTTGCTAAGTACCAAATGTATTCTGCATTACTGTTTTGTGTGATAGAGCTGTATTTTTCCTGGCACTGTCTATAACTCTAAATTATGAGAAAAGGAAATTGTTGCCATTCAGTTGGTTCTGTTTTCTGTTTCATTTGGATTTGCTAGAATCTCACCTGCATTATCTACTTTATTAGGTGGCAAATTTTTCCCATGGAAATGTATGCATTCAGTATTTTAGAACCTTGAGTATGTATTTCTTTGCACATTTAATGTAACTTAAGCATGTAATTTTTTTTCATTTTTTTGCATTTTGACTGTTTACATTTTAAAACATGTGCATTGCTTTATGCACCTTTTATTTTCCCGAGGCATCATATAAGCTTTTAAACTATGTAGATTTTTGAGGTAAGGCATGTGTCTTTTTGTAAGGAATGTGGAAAAGCTACTTTCATTGAGATTATAAAATATTATTCATCCTTATAATCCACTGCCTATTCATTATTTGCTCTTTAAAATTGGTTGTGATAATTAGGAGACTGGAAATAATTTATTGCAGAATAGAAGGAAAATATTAGAGCTAAAATGCAGAGCAAGTGTAGTTTTAAAGAACACTAACAGTTGAAAGAAGCACAGTTCCCGGTTTGCAAAGAGGATAAGAACAGAAGCCAACCTGCCAGGAGAAAAAGTTCACTGCTCAGCCAGCAGATTGCCCCCCTCCCCCTTTTCACTTATAACCTTCTGTGTTGAACATTTAGCAGTTCTTTGGTTCTAACACAAAATGATGTGTATTTGGAAGAATTGATTCAAATCTACTATATTTCTGCCCAGTTCCCAATTGCAGTGACAGGTCACCTCCAAGCTCCTTTTCCTGATATCACGATCCTGAGTGCAAAACATTAAATGCAAAGTAGCAAATGAAGGCGTTAGGATCCTGTCCAGCTTTTGGATGTGTACTTGTTTATTATGGGGAGAGAACAGTGAAAAAATGACAAAGAGGGTAAAGAAGAGAACAAAATTAATTGGGGTTGTGATGTGGAAGAAAAGGAGCTGGAATGAAGGAGAAGACAAACAAGAAAATTTACAGAGGATTAAGGAAAGTGATGAGAAACTAGATTGACAGAACATTGGAAAAAAGTGGGTGGCTCAGTAAGAAGGGAAAGAGTAACAGTGCAACTGTGCAGTGGAGGAGAAGAGAGTTGCCAAGATGGCAAGATTGCAGTGCCAGCACACGTGTCTTCCTACTGGACTGCCATTATCTGTTTCTGAAGGTTTGTGAGAAATATTTTTTTCCTACAGAATTTTAAAGGTTTGCAGCAAGTTGGTCTTATAGATTCTTATATAATCTTATAGTGAGACAATTGAAGTGATAAAACTTTTAAAATTCACATATCTACAATCCTCCAGTTTCTTGGGTTTTTAACCCCTTTAAAGGACGTGTATAGACAATGAAATTGTATGTTATTTTACATACATTATTTTAAAAATACAGTGAGGAGAGCAAATTATTCTTTTACTCTGATCATGTCTCCCACATTACCATTCGTCCGAGAAAACAGTGGTCATTAGGCATAATTATTTAACAATATTGCTGACATTTCTAATATCCATAGATAAAGGGGGTCATACTGTACTATAGAATCCTCTTCTTAAAGCAATGGATTCAATATTCATGATTTCACTTACCCATATTTCAATTTTTTAATTATTTTTGTGGGCATCTCTAGGCCCTCAAGTTTGATTTTATGATACGCTTCTGGCACAAGTTTAGTAAAATACAGGGTTCACTATTATTTATAATTTCAGTATAGTTTCAATACCCATGAAATGTATCTCCCATGGGCACGGAGTTGAATTGTATAATATTGCAGATTTTTAGGCCATGTGTAATATGAAGGAAAGCTAGAAGCTTCATATTATGTTGTGGTGAATTTTGATTTCTAACTTCTTTATGTTAGCCAGAGGCTTGAGAAAATATACATTCAAGTTTTGATTGTGATGTTTGAAACTCTTAATATTATAAAGGCAAATTACTTTTAGTATGTAAAATACAACTGTAATCTGTATGAGTGTGTTCTCCCTAAATACTAATTTCTAGATCATCTGTGACCTAGTCCATTTCTAGGAGTGGGATAGTCTGGAATATATTTCCTTTAAATCTATTCTGATTTAAAAGCAGAAGTCTTCTGTAACTTCTGCTTGGATGTGCAGAAAATACCATTTTGTCCATATGGTATTAGAAAAATAATTTCATAAATATAATAACTGAAGATAGCCACTACAAGTAAAGTAGTGGTGGAGATGAGACTATGCCAATTACATATTTGTGAATTAACAACACATTTCCCATTTCTACTCAACAATGAGCCATATTTCAGATGATTATTAAATACAAATTAAATTTTGACTGAAGGATTCTGAGAATTTAAGAATGTTATATATATTTTTTCCCCACAAGATGTCTGAAAATAGTCATTTACCAGTCTGAAATTTACAGTTCAGGAGATTATGCTTCCATGCTAATGTTTTTTTCCCCATTAGAAAACTGATCTGGTTGCACACTGATCTGGTTGCTGTTTACTATGAAAATCACTTAAATTTTCATTTAGATATTCTAGAAATGACTGGCAATCATTCTAATCTATTATTTGTATTTATTATTGTATTTGTTTATTTTTCGGTTCAAGAAACTGACATAAGTATCTAAAAAAAATTATTCTGCCATGATAAATCAGTTAGACTTTAGAACAAGACTGTTGTTTTTGCTGCCATAAATTATCATCTCTCTGACTTTCAAGCTTAAGTGTCCCTTTTTGACAGGACTGACTTCAGCTCCCTTTTAACCCAATGTTGAAGGCTTGAAATGCAATGAAATATTATAGCCCTGATTTAACAATAGGAAAGTATAAAAAACTAGCTGTCCCCTGCCACGCTTTGCTGTGGCCCAGTCTGTTGATCTGGAAAATAAAGTAATAAGAAAGTGTTGGTTTTTAATATGTAATTTCTTTATGCTTGTGGGTAAACAGATTTCTTGCTGTTTCTTTGTTAGTGTTGATGTGGAGAGTGTCTGGTTTGCCCACCCTTTCAAATCTATGATACTAAATCTGTGTGTCTGTGTGAATCATATCTATCTCTATCTATCTATCTATCTATCTATCTATCTATCTATCTATCTATGACTGGATGGCTCTTTGTCAGGAGGATTTGATTATGGTTTTTTTTGCCCTGATGAAGGGAGTTGGATTGGATGGCCTTAAGTATTTTCTGTTGGTCATGGGGGTTCTGTGTGGAAAGTTTGTCCCGATTCTGTCGTTCGTGGGGTTCAGAATGCTCTTTGATTGTAGGTGAACTGTGAATCCCAGTGACTACAACTCCCAAATGTCAAGGTCTATTTCCCCCAAACTCCATCTGTGCTCCTGTTTGGGCATATGGAATATTTGTGCCAATTTGGTCCAGATCTGTCATTGTTTGAGTCCACAGTGCTCTCTGGATGTAGATGAATGAAAACTCCAAAATTCAAGCTCAATGCCCCCCAAACCCTTCCAGTATTTGCTGTTGGTCATAGGAGTTCTGTGTGCCAAGTTTGGTTCAATTCCATCGTTGATGGAGTTCAGAATGCTCTCTGATTGTAGGTGAACTATAAAACCAAGCAACTACAACTCCCAAATGATAAAATCATAATTTTTGAGTGATGGTCACTCCTTGTGTTATGAGACATTTTGTTGCCAAATTTGGTGTGATTTCATTCATTGGTTCTTTTGTTTTTAAGGTATATATATAGATGCCAAGGCATAAGTTGGCTGTTCATCAAGGCCTTTGGGCCTCATTAATTTATCCTAAATACTATTGTACATACCTTTAAAACTTAAATTAAGTTTTTACTCATAATGATGTTTAATATGTTTTAGCGTATTTAAATTATTTTATTGTTTTAAACTGTTCAGCTTGTTTTAATGCTATTTGTAAGCCAATGTTCTATCCTTTAATAAAGGGTGGTGTGTATATATTATTTCTGTCAACTTAGCAGTTCGAAAACATGCAAATATGAGCAATAGATCAGTGGGAAGGTAATGGAGATGAGCATTACCCTCTTAAAGCCGGACCCGGCTGGACTTAATGTCAAGGGGAAATCTTTACCTTTACTATATATATGATATGTTTGTTACATATTAGGAAATATGATGTGTGTGTGTGTGGGCACACATGTGCACACAGAAACACTGTATCTGAGTTAAGAGAGTAATGTGATAACCTGGACTTGTGCTAGTTATAGAAGAGAGCATGATTTGTTGTGTGCTGGATTCAAATGCCTAATCCATGACAACCTAACCTAACACTTTCCTTGATAACTATTCATCATAATTTCTTTCCTGTTGGCAGTTTGCTAAATCTCTACCCACACAATATGTAAACAGAAGCTTCCCAAATATTCAGTCTATCTAAACTGTGAGATTATGCAGATGGTGTCTGTTGAGGGTTTCAAAACTGGAGACATTGAAACATGATTTCCAGAACTAAAGTGTCTGGGGTTTCAAAGACACATGAAGTTGGAAAAATGCCCTCTGTGATGTCTTCTATTCCCTGCCCCTCCTCCAATGTTTCCTTCTTTGGTTTTTAACTGTTCTAAATTTCATGATCTGTACTTACTTTGATTGCAAGCGGTTCACTGCTTATGCCCCATTTTGTTAATTGGACAAAGTTGAAGCAAAACTTTGACTATCAAAAAGAACTGCATACTTGTTCCAAATGCAACAAATATTAAATCAAAACCTTAACATCATAGCCTAAAATATATCATTTTCAAATTCTGACTCATTGACAAGACAGCATTTCCCTTAAATGTTTTCCTTAATACCAATTGCTAAAATATTATCCCCCACCCCCCACCCCCCATATACTTTTGATTGCTAGTACTCTTCCAGTTTGAATTCATGATGCTGGTGATAATATTTAAAGCTCTGTGTGACGTAGGCCTCAACACCTGAGAGAGTGCCTCTCCTTATGTATGTTTGCCTGATAATTAAGGTCTATTGGAGAGAATTTTCTGCTTTCCTAATGGTGGGTGGATGGCAATATATTGTGGAAGGACATGGAAGAGATGGCTTTCTCTGCTGTAGGATATTAGAGACAAAGTTGAAGTACTTTGGCCACATCATGAGTAGAGAGGAAAGCTTAGAGAAGACAATTATGCTGGGGAAAATGGGATTGACTAAGGGCAAGATGGATGGATGTTATCCTTGAAGTGACTAGCTTGACTCTGAAGGAGCTGGGGGAGGTGACGGCTGACAGGGAGCTCTGGTGCGGGCTGGTCCATGAGGTCACGGGGAGTCGGAAGCGACTGAATGAATGAACAACAACAACAACAACCCTCATCAGCATAAATGGAAATAAACAAACAAACAAATAATCCATCAATTTTGTCCACACAACAGATAGACTATAATCTTGTAAATCTCTTTCATATTTCCCTTTCACATCTAACATAATTTTTTATTTCTTAACACATTGTACAGATGATAGCATATGCAAGATATCTAACATGTTTTCAACATGTTTTTATCAAATATATCTTACTTTTAAGATAGCCAATGATATTACCTTTAACTAGTCCTTAATAAAGACTATTTTATTTCTGACTCTTTTCAAGTATTTCAACTAAAAGGGTAGGATATATTTACAAATAGTGATATTGTTTTAGTGCTACTATTTTAGTTAGTTTCTGTGAAGGAAATATGCCAGACAGTCTCTTCATCAAGCTTTTTTTGTGAGCAACTCTGCATATAGGAATTCAGAGAAGTCTGTCTTCCTCACTATAGCATACCTCATCCAAGAGCAACTGTTTTCATTTATACAAAAACTATCCTATTAGCTTAAGCCAAACTGTAATTCTGGAGGCTTAACTTGAAGACGTTTTGCCTAAAACTGTGAAGAGCTTCGACTGCCTATAACTCTTGAATTGCAAAGTGCATAAGATATAAACTGGTTGATTGTGGTTATCAGTCTGGATAAATTGAACAAGATTTTTGTTTGTGTTATATATTTAAAACTAACAAGATCACATGACTATAATAAAGATCATTCATTCATGTATTCAGATTGAATTTGAATGACAAACCAATCCTATTTAAGGCAAGGTTTGTAAGTACTTAAGCAGTGATTGAGCAAAGTGAATTTTTGACTCACTTTAGGCGAGAATAAATTTAATTTAGCTTTTAAAAACATCACTGTGTTCCCCCAGATTAGTTCTAATATCTTCAGAACACTTCCACCCAGTGAAAATCCAGATTTTGATCCAGAAGAGGATGAACCTACGTTAGAAGCTTCTTGGCCCCATATACAGGTATATTGATTATGTGTGTTTTGGATTTTGCTTGTTTATTTTGTCTTGCTTGTTCTGAAGTCGTGAATACTCAGATCCTGAAACTGGGGTGGAGCCAACCGCTGTAGTGCATATAAGCACCATCCAGGCCTCAAAACTGGTTCCAGGTTTCCCATGTAATCATTTGCACATTGAAACTACTGCTTCCTGTGCAAATTGAGCTATGCCTCTAGAGACATACAGGACAAGACGTGGTCTGTTGAAGAGATGGATAGGAGTATTAGCAAATTAAATACTTCACAGAACTACCTTCTTTATTCTAGCATGCCTTGGGTGTACAATGGGTTTTTCACTACTTTGAAACTTCTGAATTTTTGTCAAACGATGTGATAGTGTGTTGTTTAAACATGTTTTTCTGCTCTTTCATAGCTGGTGTATGAATTTTTACTAAGATTTTTAGAGAGTCCTGATTTCCAGCCTAGTGTTGCCAAACGTTATATTGACCAGAAATTCGTACAACAGGTAAATTGTTTGTTTTAAATATGTAATGTTCTACCTGTTCTAGTAAAAGATAATGTCTTGTATCATAAATGTCCCCTTTGTGGACAGAAGGGAACATTGTTTCACTGATGTGTGTATTCAAGCAACCAAAGGCCTACACTGGGACGAGAGGAGGGAGAATTATTTTTGTAGATACCTTTCTCCTTGGGCCCCTGATAGTACTCAGGTTGTTCCAAAGCATGTTCCCAAATCATGGAGCAAATTTTGGGGTTGACAATGAGAATTGGTGACTACATCCCTGCTATCTTCTACCCTCAGGAGTATCTTGGGAGGAGGTGGAATTCATATAAACTCAAGATTCAAATCACTGTAATATTGTGTAAAGAAGGAAACTAGGCTGTGTGCTGTGCAAATTACAGAAACATTGACATGTAGCTAATTTAGAAATGCATACCTTGTTTCAGAATGTATTACATAAATCAGTCTCACTGAACAGTGTATTTAATTTATATTTCAGCTAAGCCCTTTATCTAGTGCAGACATCCTCAAACTGTGACCCTCCAGCTGTTTGGGCCTCCAACTCCCAGAATCCCTAGCCAGCTTGTTTAATGGTCACGAATTCTGGGAGTTGGAGGCCCAAACAATTTGAGGGCCGCAGTTTGAGGATTCCTGGTCTAGTGCCATTTACTAAAGCAACTTTATTGTGCTCATTCTTTTCAGGGATGTAACTGACATTATTGATGTGTTTGCTTTCACATATCAAAATATATTATGAAATTAACAGTCTTATAACATTTGAAAGCTTAACAAGTTGTTTTCAGAGTAAGATCATGGGTTGCAGTCCACTTCATTAAATGGAACCGTTAGTGGCATGCCGTCTATAAAAGCTTATGCAAAACAATATGTGTTTGGTTTCAGGGTATACTGGGACTGTTGTTGTTATTGTGGCACCAGACTAACTGACTATACCACCTCCCAGAATTATCCAATATATCACAATAATGCTGATTCTTACCTGTTTCTGCATAAGACAGTATGAAATACTGTAAAAAAAAAAAAGGTCACACAGTTGTTTGTTTGGTCCTCATAAATGCAGTGCCTATTTTCCTATGCACCAACAGAAGTCCATACATTTCCTTTTTGTGTTGTTCTAATTTTTAAAGCAGCCCGAGATCTCATCCATGATATGTGCATATCCTGAGTATTTCTGTCTTGTATCCAGTTACCGAGAGTAGTTGGGTAGGAATGAAGTCAAAACTTGTTTTAGTCCTGTCAGTAGTCTTTTTAGTTACTGGAAGATGAAGTAATTAGAAATACTTTATTCATAGTTGTTGGAGCTGTTTGATAGTGAAGATCCACGAGAGCGTGACTTCCTAAAAACTGTGCTTCATCGAATTTATGGCAAATTCCTCGGATTAAGAGCATTCATCAGAAAACAAATCAACAATATTTTTCTCAGGTATGATATGTAGTTATTTATCAAAATTTCAACTAGTCTTGAAAATGTACAGTTATTCAAAAACAGTTAGTTCACAACCTTTTACATACCCATTAAAATCATATGTCTTTAAAAGTAATGCATATAAAACAGTTGTTGAGAAAGTACAGTATTGAGGAAATATTGTGAGTTCTTTTCCTCCTCGGTAAGCCTAACTTAACATTTGCAGCCCACTTGTTTTGCTTTTCTGTGCACATTTAACTTCTATTAATGCTCACTTGCTTTCAGATAAATACGTTATTAGCAAAGTACCCCAAAAGTATTCTCAGTCTGTCACTGAGTATGGAATTCATCAAATCCTGATAATTGCAGATAGTGTTTTCAGATGTTTTATAGAAAAATAGCAGAAGTCATGGGAAACTACAGTACGGTTAAAATATGGAAAATTACATTGTCTGCCCCCCTTTCGACGTTGTGCTTGAGCACTGGTGATTGCATTTAAAAACTTACTTTGGAACCATCCCTGGTCTCAAAAATAAAATATTATATAAATGAAGTTATTGAGCCTGGCCAATTGCTTCCCCTTCCTCCTGGTGTAGAGAGATAATTGGTAAAGCAGGAGCACAAAACTATATCCCTTGGGGATCAGATCTCTACTGAAACCCAAGCAAATGAGTGCAATATGATTTCTTCTTTGTCGTCTCTGAATCACACCAATGGATTATTATATGCCTGCGCAGAGCAGACTCAGAACCTTCTGATCCAAAGGTATATTTTTGGCAGTAATCCCGCCAGTGTATCTCCAAGTTTTTTCATCAATATATGGGACTGTACTTCACACCTAAATGCCTAAGTACTTGTAATGTTGAATGACTTCCTAGTAGGAAATAAAATCGAATATTATTAAGTTAAATATTAGCAACTATTTAAAAATGACCAAGTCAGCTAAGAATTACTCTTTGTATGGCTTTATAAAGAAGAATGTATTTTTTAAAGGTTAAGTGGTCTCAGTACACAAACATGTAAAATAGGCTGGAAGGGAAATTAGATCAGTGGGTTGCTGTAAGTTTTTTGGGCTGTATGGCTATGTTCCAGGAGCATTCTCTCCCTACATTTCGTCTGCATCTATGGCAGACATCCTCAGAGGTTGTGAGGTCTGACAATAGATCACTTTGAACACTTTAAATATACTGATTTGTTCAAATTGCACAGCCTGGTAGTGTGCTTGGCTGTCTTAGAACAATAAAACTTAAAAACTATGTGCTGGACTCCCAGTTGAAGGGAGACTTCATTGCCCTTCTTTTGGAAATACAGCTTTACAGTAATAGTTGTGATTTGTGCTACTATGATAGTACTTGGGAAATTTTCCTGTGTAATTCATGTATGCCATTAAAGAAATTTGGGAAGAATATTAAGATAGTGTCTACTCATGTCCGTGGTGCTGATTTCAGAGGGATTCATTTCATATTTACATCTATTTTGTGTATTTTCTTCATGATTTTGCTTCTCATACACTTGGATGGGATATTTTAGTCCCCAGAGTCACGTTTGTTACAGAAATTACACAGACCTAGATCTATAAGGTAGGCCTTTCATCACATTGTCACCTATAGAGTTGTTAAAAAGTTCATCAAACTTCATCTGACAGTTATTTAGCTTTTAAAAAACACAAACTGGTGATTGGAAAAAAGATTTTCCCACATATCTATTGCATTTCTAGAGGCTACATTTTTTGAGCAAGGAATGTTAATAGCTACTCAAAACCAGTATTCTACTTTATGTGAATATATGTTCTCTGGCTGTTGATGGAGCCCCCGGTGGTGCAGTGGGTTAAAGCTCTGAGCTGCTGAGCTAGTTGACCAAAAGGTCGCAGGTTTGAACCCAGGGAGCAGCGTGAGCTTCCGCTACCAGCCCCAGCTTCTGCCAACCTAGCAGTTCGAAAGTTGATACAAAGGCATTGTGGGATATCCATGATTTTATATCAAAAACACTCCTGTGTCCTTTTGGTATTTCTATATTTTGCAATACATTGGACTTTTTAATTGCAGTAAGAAATTCCCCAGTTAAAGGCATGGAAACTCTTCTTATTTGCGTGTACAGGGATTAAAATAAATTGGTTAGCCCCTTGCTTTTTAAAGTTCTAGAAAATAAATGAGCTTGTCTACAAATGCAAAATGCTTTTCACATAAACTGAATGAAATTTTCTGGTTGGTGGCATACAACAAAATCTGAAGTCTAGTGTGATATGGCCCTGATGATCTACCTGCCTGTAAAGCTTGGGCAGGGTTGTACAGCATAGTAAATGGTTTCATTTATGTCTTATCTGTTATAATCTGCCTTGCATCTTTTCTGATATTATCACAGCTTTCTTAATGTACTTCTCTACTTAATGCCTCAGTGCCTAAAGCCTGGTCTAAGACTGGGGTTAGTATTCAATTTTAGATTTAGCATATTCAAAACAAAAACCTGTCAGATGCAATTTATTGTTTGTTTTTTCTGTTTCTGCTTTGTTCTAAATATTGATTGAAAATATGTTCATACAGGTTTATATATGAAACAGAACATTTCAATGGTGTTGCTGAGCTCCTTGAAATACTAGGAAGGTATGTTTGTTCTTTCATTAGTTAAGCAATCAAGTAGCCTCCCTACTTTTCATAGGCAAAATGGATAAAACCATTTGGGTTTGTTTTCTAAAGGCTTGATGGACTCTGTGCTTCATTTCCCCCCTTAGTATGAAATAATCCAATAATTTAAACACATAGATGTGAAGGAATCTGATTTTAACAATCAACGATGGCGTTCTGGTGGTGAATACTGAGCTTCATCAACTGTGTATCTCCCTGGACTTTTCCTCAGTGTGCATTTCTCCTCAGATTTGAGAAAATGCATATAGAGATGACATAGAGGGAGATAAACAGCAAACATTTTACTTATATGTCCCCTTTGCTGTTAAGAATTGAACCTTTCTTTGTGGCTGTGGCAGTTCAAGGCTTTTGGCTAGTTGCTCCTTTCATGTCTTCCTTAACCCTGAATGCTTCTTGTTGATGCTTCTTTGTGCTAGCTATTATGCGTCAGATGGCATAAGCTGAAGCGCAAACATATTGTCCCAGAGTAGCCTCAGGACCATCCCTTTACCACCACACTCTTCTGCTAGGTTTCAGATCTGTTTCCTAGTGGCCTTTCAAATGGAATTTGTCAAAGTATTATGTGATGTTATGCTTAGAGGATGACTGGAGGGAACAGAAATTGGCTGAACCTATGAGCCTATGATGTTTGTCTGTTTTTCTCCAAACCAGCTCTTAATAATTACATTATATTGCTGCATGGTTTCCCATGTATCTGCAGTTCACAAAACCACCAGTCTTTGCAGATCAATTATCTTGCAGCGGAAACTATTTTTTTCAAAAAAGAGGCAGCCTCATGTTCAGTAAACTGGAGCGAAATCAAAATTCAGTGTTGAACTTAAAAGCATTTATTCAAAATATTCAAGATTATTAAGTATTCAATTCACGATAGGTTGCCTTTCTATTAAGATATAGAGACATATATAGTATGTCCACCCATTGCTACAATGATTTTCTTCTCTCCCCAAAGATCACTATGTTTCACATCAACCTCCTTTGTGTCTAAGGCAGTGGTTCTCAACCTGTGGGTACCTAGGTGTTTTGGCCTACAACTCCCAAAAATCCCAGCCAGTTTACCAGCTGTTAGGATTTCTGGAAGTTGAAAGCCAAAACATCTGGGTTGAGAACCACTGATCTAAGGGAACCATAGGAACCATTTGTGGGAAGAATTGCCTGGAAAATTATGAAAAGAACATTATTGTTGTTTAAGCTTAAGTCTGTGTGAACTTAGTAGTTGCCTATACACTACATGCAAACAAATTTGCACATCTTTTTTATTATAACTCAATGTAACATAGCTATATGAAATAGAAGAGCAATGTAACTATTGTCATGTTGTTTTTCTTGTACCACAGTGTCTTTTTTATGGAAAATTAATAGCACAAGGGGGGAATGTTCAGGGCTTAGGAATGTTACTTTAAAAGCAAACCACATTTTAGTTTCTTTATTTCAGAGGTCAGCTTCCTGACACTTACATGCACTGAATAACATTACTCATTAGTAACATTTAACTTTTTAAATGATTTTTAACATTAACATGCCTGAAAATTCTCTAAAATTAATTTAAAAAGTAGCGTTTCTAAGTAATGTTATTCAATATGCAGAAAAGCTACAATTTACCTTATTCATAAGAAAATGCTTAAAAGTTAAAACCCTCTTGTTTCTACACAGTCCTCTCTTGGAATTTGCTAGGTATTCAGTGCAATTTTGCAGTAACTTCCACCAGGACCATAATATAGAATCACCTGGGGGACCTAGACAATTCTTAGAGAGGACACGTTTTGTTGAACTGGTTAGGTGAAAGCATGAGTACTGATCCCATGAATATGGGTCATACTGTATTACTTCCATGTTGTGCCTAGTATTGATATAACATTGGATACATTGGATCTGCTTTTGATTTATTTATTTTGTGATGTCAAAAGCATTCTTACCTGGCTGACAAGCAGTACCTTGGCCTTCCTGCTCCATTGCTTTAGACATCATGATCATCATCACAGCTTGTATTTGGCTCATGTTTAGAAAGAAACTCACACAATGTATCCAAAGAAATTTCCAGTCTATGGCATTAATGGACCAATCTTGTGCCAAACTTATAATATTACTTGTTAACTTTAGTACTGTACAGTAATGGGTTGTTCTGTATGATTTGTTTTTTCCAGTATTATCAATGGTTTTGCATTGCCACTAAAAGCAGAACATAAACAGTTTCTTATGAAGGTTCTTATTCCTATGCATACAGCAAAAGGATTAGCTTTATTTCATGCACAGGTATGTTTATATGAGGAAATAACCTTTAGTAATTGCAGAATATTGCCTTTTAATGTTGAACTAGAATATTCAGAAAATTAATTGTATGCTCTTGATTTTTATGCAAATGCCAGGCTATGTCAGTTTAAAGTTTATATGTTATAAAAGGGAGAAAGTGTATAAGCACATATTTACAAATATTTTTCTTATGTAATTGAACTATTCTCTGTACAGTATCTTTTAGGGTTACAATTTTTAAAATGCATTACTGATATTATTATGTTTATTTATACCCAATTTTTCTCATGATTGAGACCTTTATTAACAATAGATATGGTTCATGTGTTGGGCAAATATCTCACCATTGAAACGAGAATAGCAATTACAGAAAAGCACTAAAGATTGTGCCACCTGTGGAGCCCCTGGTGGCACAATGGGTTAAATCCTTGTGCTGGCAGGACTGCTGACCGAAAGCTCAGCAGTTTGAATCCTGGGAGCGGGGTAAGCTGTCAGTTCCAGCTTCTTGTGTGGGGATATAATAGAAGCCTCCCACAGGATGTTAAAACATCAGGGCATCCCCTGGGCAAAGTCCTTGTAGGCGGCCAATTCTCTCACACTAGAAGCAACTTTCAGTTTCTCAAATTGTTCCTGACATGAAAAAAAAAACAACAAACAAATTTTAATGTATGAGGACAACACTGCCAGTGGTCCCCCCTCAGATTCTTCCCTCCTCATGCAGAGACAGGTCAATTACATTATGAATGTATTATGGTCTGTATATTGTATCACACTTATATGGGACTGTTTATACATAATAATGGAAAACCAGTGAAAATATGTGATAGCTTAATGTAAAACAAGTTGAGTGTAGAGACCTCAATAATACTGTTATAATAGGCATTCAAAATTGAAGATATTATCATATATCAGATAAATTTATTTTCTGAACACCAGTTTTTATAGAGTAGAAGTACGACTTCTGTTGTGCTGAAAATGGGGAAACATATGGCCCTTTACTTCCACATATGGTGAACGTGCCTACTTACCATATGGGGAGATGAGTTATTAAAAATAATTGGGTAAATTTGTTTAATAGAAAATAGCAGGGAAGTCTTCACTGTCATTGTAACCATTTTAAAGGATAGATTTCAAGTAAAATGTGAACGTGGCAACAAATTCCTAGGCTGACTAGATGGTAATAGTATGTTCATAGGATGTCTTCGACTGATAATCTCCTTCCTGACAGTTATTCCCAGGAAACAAACTAGGTGTGCTTGGTGCAGAAATCATGATATCCTCCCCCTTACACTGAGACATGAACAACCAAGTGTAGGAGACCCTTCTTTTATTGAAATGTGGCACATCCATATTGACCATATGAGAGAAGCTATCTTCCTCTCATTGACTGCAGTGATCCCCAGAGAACTGCAGGATTCATGGTTTGTGTGTTGTTGTTGGGTTTTTTTTTTTTTGGTAAATAGATATCCCCCTCACCAAAATATGTAGCTCAAACTAACTTTGAGGTGGAGAGCATTTCGATCAGGCCCCCAGAGTCCCTAGGACTCAAAATATTTTCAGAAAAAAATTAAAAGGTTTTGCCTCAAACTAATCTAGAGGGCATAGGAGGTGTTTCAACCACATTTCTGGGAACCAATTTAGTCCCTAGAGGAGCTCTTTTTGAAACATTTAATGAACAGAAAGTGTGCACTTCCTGTTGTAAAAAAAGCCCTCTCGTGACTAATATTATCCAGGAAGACCACAAAACATGGTGAAAATGTCCCCATTTGGGAGCAAAATAAATATGTTTCTTTTCCTTGTAGAGGTTGAAGCAATAGAAGAAGCAGCCTTCCAAAGTCTCCCAAGGAATCTGTGCAAATTACCAGCCTTTCACAGTTGTCCACCCTAGCTTTAGATGTATGCATCCTAGATTAGCTTTGTATCTTCCAAGTAATGAGAGAGAAGCAAAAATCCTACAATCTGAATTTAAATCTAAATCCCCCAGATGATGTAAAAGACACATCATACACTAATCCCTACCCCTTCCTTTCTCCATAGATATAATGATAATGTGTCCAAACGTCATAGTATTTTATATGTTCAGTTGTCTTTTTTAAACAAAGAAAATGCAGTCAATGCTATTTTTATCAACAACTCTATGAAAAGTTTCTCTTGTGTTTTAGCTGGCCTACTGTGTTGTTCAGTTCCTGGAAAAAGATATGACATTAACAGAGCCGGTAAGTGTAGCTTTATCCATTTTTAATCTTTTAGAATTTTTATACTGGTTAGCTTTGGCCTCAGTGTCAATTAAATACTGCAATCAGATTTTCCACCAAGAACCCATAATTCACATGAGGTCCATGCCTTTCTCTGCCATTCATTTCAGTAGAAATTGATAGAAAAACGATATAATGCACAGCTCTGGATTATCAACAGTGCAATTGATTTAGGACCTTCATTGGCTAGAGATCTAATGCTGATGGGGAAAAAAAGTGTAGCTTCTTCCCTAGACACTTTCTGAATCCCCTAGTGTTTCTACTGTCACCAGTATTTTGCAATACTTGTTAAGTCGCATGAAATCAAGCTGTTAGCCTCAGTGGAGTTTCTGGGGTGAACATGGGTTCACACATAAAGAGGTTTTTGCGCTGCTATTTATTACATGTTGTAATTTATTTATTGTGGGGCGTTTTTGCTTTTAATTTCCGTGTCACTACACTTAGATAGCTTTTACATGTGCACCTAGGGTTTTTGTTTTTTGGAATGGTTTCAGGGGCTCAGCTACCTTACTTCAGCCTTGATAATGCATGAAAGATGCCTGCCTACTGTGCATGGTAAACTGTGGTCATAATTAAGCACTAACATCTTTATGTATTTGTTTGTTTGTTTGACTTGATTTGCCTACACAGCAAGCAAACTTTCTGTTACTCTTTTTAGAGTGCTTTAACCCTATTGTACAGATTCTGTTTAAACCTGTCCTTGCCTTTTCATCTCTCACTTTCACAGTGAATCTGCTTATCCAGTATCTGTATTTCTCAGTATTCAAAATGTGAAATTGTTTGTTGGAAGTGATTATTGCTTTCCAGATAGTGTGAAGATTGTAGTAATGGGTATAAAGAGTTGGTTAAAATGCCAGCAGCTACAGAAAGAAGGAGCTAGCACAGATTCAATAGATATGTTTGACAACTTATTTGTATATGATAGAAACATGGTTCCTATAAAAGATGTGTATGCTACATGTGTGAGATTGAAATGGAATCACCTCCTAGCAGATGGGTTGAATTATGCATGCATACCCTCAAACTTTGCTTTTCTATATTGCTGCAAAAAAAAAAGAAGCTTTGAAGACCATTATATCCTATTGACTATACTTGTGCACACTTACTTTATATGTCTATTATGTTTAGTAGGACTTACTCCCAGGTAAGTCTACATAGGTTTGCAGTAAATTGCCCAGAAACTTGTGTGTAGATTTGATTCAGGAAGAGTCAGGAAGAGTTGCTTTTTATTGACTGGATTTTTGAGGACTGAGAGGTTTTGAACTTTTCTTCATCCGTGGTAGTATGAAGCTCTAATTTGTATTAGATATCATTCTTGTTTCTTGCCCAGATTGCTTATGGGTAAAACTTCATTGAATGGCAGCAGTCTTGCTTTTCGCCTGTGGCTGGCCCAGTTATGTTTAAAGGAGGCTTTTACATTAAAATTGGCATATGCTGCCTTTACTTTAAAATGGCATCTTATCCCTTGGCTTTCTTTTTGTCCTGCGTACATTGTCTCCCAGCCCAGCTTCAAAGCAGCACCTTATCTGCGAAGGAAGAAAAGTATCTGAAGCAGTGGAGTGCAGGGAGGTAAGGTGGGGAAGGGCTCAGCCCCCTTCAGCCACATGTAGTTTCAATGTAAAATCAGAAACCTTCACATTTTCCTATATATGTGAATGTGGCACATGTACACATAAACAGACATGCTGCCACAGTGTTATCTAGTTTGACCTACATTTCTCTGACTGCCAGCATAACCCAGTGTATGTTTTTCAGATTTGATAGCTTTATTCAGTTATAAGAATTGTGGCGGAATCTGAATTTGAAAACATTTCACTCTGGTCTTCGGGCAGGAAATGTTAGTTCAGTTTAGCTATCCAATATCTATGCCAGGCTGTCTCCGGTTGAACTTGACATTAGCAGAGCTTACATGACAAGTTTGTTTTCTGGCCCACAAAATATTGAAGTTTTAAAGCTTTAGAACATTTTTTTATCCTGAGCAAAACGAATTAAGGTATAAGGTTGAATGACTTTATTGTTTGCACACATTGAATTTGCACCTATTGTTTGCACACATTGAATTTGCACCTATGCTTGAGTGCTATGGGAATTTTGGAACATGCCTAGGAAAATATATTTCAGACTAATTCAAAGAGAGACAAAAATTAAGTTTGTAACTTTTAATCTTTATAGTATTATAGATGTTTAAAGAAAAAAACCGATTAATATCTGACACTAGCACTATAGTGGCAGACTATTCTTATTGGCTGGGAAAGAAAAATGGAGGGGTAAGTTATGGTTCATCCAATAAAGCAGTGGTTCCCAACCTTTTTTTGACCAGGGACCACTTTGACCAGGGACTACTCTCCAACATTAGTACCAAAAGGGCTGCGAATCAGTTTTTTTTAAAAAAAATACTTTTTTATTAAATGCATTTTCACTTTAGTTTTACATAAAAACAAGGTATAGGTATAGGGTAAGATTAGGTATAAGAAATTAGGTTTATATATATTCTACTGCTCTTACGAAGGTAGAACAGTGAACAGGTAGGGGATGTCAAAGGGCTTGAGGGGGAGGGAAAGAAAAGAGAAAAAAGAGAGAAGGAAAAGAGAAAAAAAATCTGTTTTTGGTCAACTTAAGATTCAGTTTGGTTATTTGGGGTGCTGATTCGGAAAATTGCATTGGGTAGAGCATATCAGCTCTAGTTTCTGATACAGAACATATGCCATCCAGTAGTCGCCATCTGCTCACCCACAGAAAGCCATATTTAATAATCTAGATCTGATGTGGTCTATCCAATGCAATTTTCTGAATCAGAACCCCAAATAACTCCAGGAACAGGCCTAGAAATGAAAACACCAAGGCACCTCTGCTTTCAGGTGCCACATGGAATGGCTGTGCTCAAGAGGAGGGAGGAGGAACAGCCGCAGCAGTCAGGAGGCTTGCTGTCATGCCTTTCGTGGGTAGTCAGCCTCTCCCCTCCCAATATGCCCATTGCTTCGGCAACTCTAAGAGGGTTTCGCAAGACCAGTCGCTGTTGTGTAGTAATGGTGGACCTTATTTTAGTTCTTGGGAACCACTGGTGGTCCGGACCACAGGATAATCTATATCTATAAATTTCCTACTGGAGTCCAACGGGGAAGCAAAACTCTAAAACCCCTCCACAAAACTCCACCAAAATTGCCATGCCCCAAGGACAACCCACTAGGTACAAACTAATCCAGTCAGAAATCAAAACAACACAACCACACACAGAAAAAACGGCAAAACAACTGAGCATGCGCACTGGCGCAAAGTCCCCAGCGCACGCGCACACATGGCCAAACGGCCAACGCACTTCTTGCCCCGCCCAGCGCGAACACGTCACCGCACTTCCCCATGGCACACACACACACACAAATAACGCAACTTCCCCCCGCCCCCTTCCCTCCACCCCCTCCTTCATCTTACTCCTCCCACGCTGCCTCCAAGCCTCGCCGCGCCGCATCCCCACTGGAAAGACATGCCCCCTCCCTTCGCCCCACCCCTTCCCTCCCTGAGACACTCCTGGAAGGAAAGGGGTGGGGCGAAGGGAGGGGGCGTGTCTAACCGGAGAGGGAGGGAGGAGGGAAGGAGTGAGTCACGGAGGAACTCCCTCCCCCTCCGAAAGACACGCCCCCTCCCTTCACCCCACCCCTTTCCTTCCAGGAGGCAATCAGGGAGGGAAGGGGTGGGGCGAAGGGAGGGGGCGTGTCTTTCCGGAGGGGGTGGGAGGAGGGAAGGAGTGACTCAGGGAGGGAAGGGGTGGGGAGAAGGGAGGGGGCGACTTTGAAGACACAATGATGGATCCGGACCAAAGCATTCAATACGCCCAAATATCCACACAGATGGAGTTTGAGGGAAATAGACCTTGACATTTGGGAGTTGTAGTCACTGGGATTCAGAGTTCACCAACACTCAAAGAGCATCCTGAACCCCACCAACGACAGAATTGGGGCAAACATGCCACACTGAACCCCCATGACCAACAGAAGATACTCAAGTTTACACACAAGCATAAAGAAGGGGGAGGAAGGAGGGATGCCAAAGAGAGAGAGAGAGAGAGAAAGAGGGGAAAGGAAGGAGTGTGAGAGAGAGAAAGAGGGAAAGAGGGCGAGTGAAGGAAGGAAGAGAGGCCAGGCAGAGACTTCAAAACTCTTACTAAAGGCCACAGCAACGCGTGGCAGGGCACAGCTAGTAATAATAATAATAATAATAGTAATAATAATAATAATAATAATAATAATTTATTTTTGTACCTCGCCTCCATCTCCCCGAAGAGACTCGGGGTGGCTTACATGGGGCCAAACCCAATCAAAAGAATTAAAATGTGGTTAGGAACCACTGCAATAAAGATTAGGAATACAGTAAATTACAGTGATGCAAGTTGAATCATGTGAAAGACAAAACCAGATTTATATTGATTTATATCGATGATAAGGGAGGGGAGTTAGTGCAAGGCTTATTTTATTTATTTATTTATTTATTTTTTCCAAAGCAAGAGGAACACAAATGTTTCTTTTCCTGGTTAAATGCAGCTGTTTAGAAGCCTGCAATGAGTTGGGCTGTTTGTGCTTCCAGATAAGTAATTGCAGTTGGATAAAAAACCAAGTATTGTTGATGATGGGAGCCTTACATTATCTACACACATTCGAAAGAGAAGCTTTCATTGATGATGGGGGCTTAAGAGCACGTTGTTGTTAGGAGCTGCTAAATCTCATGTGATACAAAATGTAATTCAAAAATAGAAATTGGAATAGAGATCAATGGGTCCATGTTTCTCTTGCATTCCTGAATAACCTGAGGAAATCAGTCATTAATCATGATTAAAAACAAAAGGTCTGGGGGTAGGCAGGAGGCAAGGAAGAGAAGCCAGTTAATATCTGGGCATACTTGGCTCGGTACTGTAGGATTATCACATAATGGCCTGACCCTTTGCTTGGCTACCAGGAGACTCAGCCATTGGATATGAAGATGGCAGGTTGAAAGTCATGCTGCTGATTGTCACTATAGGCACACGTACTTTGTGTTCTGAAAGGCACTCACAAAACATTCGTGACATTAGAGTGTGGAATACAGTTTATTTTGATGGTCCCAGTAAAGTGGTCATGTGCCTAGTGTGGTGAGGAAACACTACAGAAATATTTGTTGCTTAACTGTAACTGTGTCACAATAAGTATGTCCCAAAGGGTGACACGAGCTAGAAAGAGTGTGTGTATATGTTATTTCCTCACTATCTAACAAAACCATCTTGGAAGGAGATGGAGCAAGATGTCTTGAAACTGCATAGAGTTCAGGCTTGCGTGACCATTTGCTATCTTAGAAAGCTACACTTTAGCAAAAGAGATAGAATGGGAATTGGAAATCTTCCTTCAGTTCTCGCCTGATAGTTTTGCTAATTTGTGCCTTCTAAGCAATGACGTCTCCTAGAGCCTTGCTGGAAGAATCGTTTTCAGCATGGAAAAGTACTAGACTCTGGGTCTTGTCTTGATCTTAATTGGAAGGGCTCATGGTAGCTTAAGACTGATAATGATACAGAATTATCTTGATTAAACTGAGTAGTGGAAGACAACTGGAACAGCATTTTCCAAGGGTTTCCATGCTGTTGTACAGAATTTCAGGAATGGGCACCGGCAAGGCCTACAAATCAAATCTGTCCTGATTTCATAATGATTGTTAAATAATAGTAGTGTGATGAAAAAATGGGACAGGCTAGTACTTTCTAATAACTCTGCCCACCCTCATCCTTTACCCATGTTAAACTATTGACACTAGGCAAGATCAATGCTCTTCCTATTCACTGTTGAAGGTGCCTTACCAAAATTTTATGCCAGTTTCTTATGTTCCTTCCTGTGCTCCTGTTTGTAACGTGTAAATTGTTTTGGAAATAAGCATGTATCCTAGCATTTTAGTGGCTGAATGTTTAATATTTCAGTATCATTCTAGCATTTTATTAATTGTTTGAGCCTTTAACATTGATGATTGGTGTGCTTTGCTCTATGACATTTTTTTCCTTTTATATTTTGGTTTCAATGGATTTGTCTTCCATATTTATAGTCTTTTCCAAAGTTGTTATATTGGTTTATTCAGACTTTATGCTTTTAATGTATTTGTAATGTTTGTTATACATTACTTAGATGACCCAGAATATGATTAGATAAATGGAAAAAAGACTAATGGTTGAATTCTGATATAAGAATATAAAGAGCATATTAGAAACATTTTTTAAAAATTGCTTTTATACATACACTAATGAATTCACAAAATTTTAAGACATGTCTAGTCATAGTATATGTCCATATATGTGTGCATGTAATTTCCACTTGTATTATAAGTTGCATTATTTGTGAGTATACTCTCATGCTTTAAAATTATTTTTTCAACCTAGGTTATCAGAGGATTGCTCAAATTTTGGCCAAAAACATGCAGCCAAAAGGAGGTCAGTTTGATTTATTTCTACATACTAAATTGAAGAGTTAGCCTGAATCTTAGAGCACACCTATACCGGTTACTTAATGTGGACTGAAAGCAGCATGAAAATGCACAGTGCAAACGCACATCGCAACATAGATTAAAAGGCTTTAAATCTGGATAAACAAAATGGGGAGATACTCTAAAACAGGTGCCATATTGTGCATCATGGTGTTTAGCTATAAACCGCATCACATAGCAAAACTGATTAAGGAATGGGTGTTCTCGCAGGCAGATTTGGGGGTGTGAGTTAATCCAAATATTCCATGGCTGTGAAACTATGGATACTGGAGATTCTGGAACTGGGACAAAGTCAACCTCTGTGGTGTGTATAAGCACCATCCAGGCATCAACCTGTTCGCATCTTGAAATCATTTCCTCCACTGCCAGTTTCATGCTGCCTTAAGTGATCAGAATAGATGTGCTCCCAGACTGACGGGAAGATCTGAAAGTTGTATATCTTTTTTGTAATATTAGTAAGTTGGATTTCATATGAGTGTCTAAAACAGCTCCACAGCTTCAGGGGACCTGCAGGGGACCTGCACCATACATGTCTTCCTCTTACCAGTCAATTTTCATATACACCCTCAGAAGACAAAAGTAGATTTGAAGATCGCCATAAAGGGGATTCAGTGAAAGAAAACAAGTGGGTAGTTGTGGGTTAGTTATGTGATCCACACAGAGTGGTGTCGGAGGTCATGGGGGTTGGATACACGGGTGTGGGGTTAAAAGGATAATAAATGTTAATGTATTATAACTGTACAGTCAAAGTTGATTTTTCATATGTTTAACGAGCACTGACTGTATACTATTCTGTAAACTTGAATACTCTTTTGTATATCCTTTTTTCTTTTCTGGTTTTTTTGTTTGTTTTCTATTTATTTCTGTTTTCTTCTGGTGTCGGTTTTGTTTTCTGTATGCACCATAAACCAATAAAAATAAATTAAAAATTTTTTTAGAACCCAAGTCACATATGATCTGAGAATAAAAGGTTGAGGGGAAAATAGTGCATTTTTTCCCCACTCATTGATCACAAGGGGCCTATTAAGAAATAATTCTGGGATGGGTGGTGATGGGTTGTGAGTGATGGGGAAGTCAGCCTGTCAGGGCCACATTCGGGCTGCAAATGATCTAAGGGAGATGTGAAGATGAGACAAAGTCTCAGGGTGTTGAAAATATGGTTTTATTTTTGCAATTGCTAGGTGTTTCAGCCTAGTAAAATCAAATACACTTCTTCAGGGGAAGCTAAAATATAAAGAAAAGTATCTGAACATAAGCAACAAACAGGTTACAATCTGCATTATCAATTCTGTCTACATATTAGCATTTTTTTAAAAACAGAAATTTTATATGCATCAAGATATACGTACCCAAAAATGATAGGCCAAAATGCATCTGACTAATTGCAAGAATAGAACCATTTTTTCCTCAGAACTTTGAAGCTTTATCTCTTTTCTACATCTCTTTTATTGATGGTTATCAGTCCTCTTTTTTGTACACGATCTATCAAGGTGTAAAATAACTATATTGGCAGAAAATTCCCCATTTATAGCACAATTTCCTTGAAAGAATCCCTTCGGCCTCACAAGGATTTTTTTTCTTTCATTTAGCTACCCAGTGCTACTAGTGTGTACACAGGCAGCATGGTGGGGCATTAAAAGGTTTGGAAGACACCCCTCCTACCCAGCACCTCTGTTCTGCTCTTTTCCCAAGCTGAATGAACCCCCCCCCCCCCAAGGAAGGGTATTTGGGAAGTCAGGGGGCTCCCCTGTTTTCCCTGTGTACATACAAAGCAAGAAAGGAAGAATAGGAATCTGCTTTATGAGGACTCTTCCTTGTATGTGTTCTACCTGTGTGGGGAAAAAATGTATCACATTTTCTTTAAAGAAGAAATAGTTAAAAAGGACTTTATCAATAAAAGCTATTGTTCTTCTATCTTTACTTTTAAAACGTTTTATTTTACTAAAGTTGACATGTTAAATATATCAGCATGTGAAGGGCTCTTGTTGTACCTTAGAAACTACCCAAGATAATGAAGTTCTTAGCATGTGCTTTGGAGACTTCATTTACTCCCTTAAATGTTAAAATATATGTTTCCTATTACAAAACCTTAGCCATATTGTAGTTTTTGTTAACCGCAGTATGTGAATCACTGGGCATTCTAAATATGCTATTTAATTCAGGTTGCTACAGAATCTTTGTTTCACAGCTTTTTTGTTTGACAACTTTGCTGCTGCTTGATTTTTGCTTACAGTTGGGTCAGATTTCTTTCTCTGCTTAGTCTTCACATCAACCTTTTCAAGGAAACAATTTCTATTTATGTAAAAGCCTACACAAATAAGCCCCAAAAGAGTTTTTAGATGTTGTTAACTGTGCAATATAGAGCCTCTGTCTGCAATCTGGGAATACCAAGTGCTGTATCATTAATGAAGTTAAGAGAGTCCAGACTTGATCAGTGCTGTGGATGGGGGATCTCATGTGAGAACCAAGAAAGATACATGTACAGTAAAAAAATTAAATATTGTATTGTCGAAGGCCAGCATCACTGAGGCATTGTGTGGTTTCCAGGCTGTATGGCCATGTTCTTGCAGCATTTTCTTCTGACATTTTGCCTGCATCTGTGACTGGCATCTTCAGAGGATCTGAAGAAAAATTGCTGCTAGAACACAGCCATACAGCCCGGAAACCACATAACAGTCATATTAAATATTGTATCTTGATTTAACTTATCTAAATAACAATTAACGGTACTTTCCATCCAAGCAAACATGTGCAAATAATGTTGATACAAATTCCTTATATCATCCTGGGATAATTTTAGCCTTTCTTACATATCTCCCAGGTAGCCACCCATGATGTATTTCTTGACTATTTTTTTTCTTTTTAACAGGTCATGTTTTTAGGTGAAATAGAAGAAATCCTAGATGTAATAGAACCGACACAATTCAAAAAAATACAAGAGCCTCTCTTTAAACAGATAGCCAAGTGTGTGTCAAGTTCACATTTTCAGGTACACTGAAACATTTTACATGTTTCATATTTAACTTTTATTGCAACATTTAACTTTTATATCTGATACTACTCAACCTCATTGTTCTGATAGTTTGAAATCTATATTTCAGGTTGCAGAAAGGGCATTGTACTTCTGGAATAATGAATACATACTTGGCCTGATTGAGGAGAACATAGACAAAATCTTGCCAATTATGTTTGCCAGTTTATACAAAATCTCCAAAGAGCACTGGAATCCGTATGTACTCTTATCATTCAGTCTACTGAAGTGCCTTTATGTATTACTTTATCAGCTATAGGTCTAGAAATTTTAGTCAAAGCATCAACCAAGGTTGTCTTATCTACAGCTCAGTATAAGTACAGTACTGTATCTTAATTAGTTCCCTTTGCACCAGTAACATAAACATTCTTAGAGATAACTTCGTATACCTATTTGTCCTTCATGTTAAAATAATGGAAGTTACAAATTCAGTGCTCACCATGTACATAAATGGAGTTTATCAAAGAAGCTAGTAGGGGGTTTTTTTTAGTTTATTCCAACATAGCTTCTTTTTGAAATAATACAGGGTGGAGGGGGAGTTTTTCTTCTTTGCACCTGGGACTGGATAGAAATGACGTTTTGTTCACTAAGCTGATATTTTGTAAAGTCTCTCAAACTTTAAGTTTCAGAGAAAGGAGGGATTTAAAATGAAGCAGTCATGAGTCTTAATGAGATTAAAAGTCTAATTTGTCTGCTTGTTAATAGTTACTGTTGTAGAATTCAAGACCTGTCTTGGCCCTGTTTTTGAGACATCTTCACTATACTGCAGAATCTGTCAGAATGTTTATTTATAGGTGGTGTAAGCCTAACCCTTGTGCCACTGAACTGCTGACCTGAAGGCCGGCAGTTTGATCCATGAGACGGGGTGAACTCCTGTTTGTCAGCTCCAGTTTCTGCCAACCTAGTAGTTTGAAAACATGTAATTTGAGTAGATAAATAGGTACCACTTCAGGGGGAAAAGGTAAAGAGACATTCCAAGCAATTTTGCCAGGCACACAATTAGGAGATGACAACGTAGGCTTCCTGGCTTGAAAAATGGAGGAAAGCGCCTCCCCAGAGCCAGAGATGAAGCACTACCTCTAGAAGCCGGAAATGAAAAGAAAAAGCCTTTGCCTTTGTTTGTGTTTGTGTGTCTCATTTGTAAAAGGCATTGAATGTTTGCCTATGTATGTAAATGCTATAATCCACTCTGAGTCTCCTAGGGGAGAAGGGCAGAATATAAATAAAGTGTATTTATTATTATTATTATTATTATTATTATTATTATTATTATTATTATTTCAAGGAGGAGAGTTACAGGCTGAGGATAAAGAGGAGTTAAAATGTTTTCTTAATGACTAAAATAATTGAGGGTGAACTTTGTTAACTTTTGTTTCTTATTTGAAGGTTATAGTCAAATCTCTTTTTTTGGAAGCACAAACATTTACTGATAAAAGGGCATTCCTTTTTTGATGTTCTTACATTTGTCTTTCATTTTGTACTAGCTTTTATAGCCTTCATGCTATTTGGTATTACAATAGCAGACACTAGTTCATTTAGATTAGATGGAGGCACTTCAATACTTCAAAACCTGATTAATCAAAACTAATATCCCCTAAGCACAAGTTAGAAGTCCCCAACTCCTCAAGAAGAAACATATGCTCTGAAGGTGATTCAAACTATACTGCTGTTTTTACTTTATGAAACCAAAAGCCAGACACTCGAAACAGATGTTGGTATGTAACAGTTGTCCTATAATTTAAAGTGTGATATTTTCCTTTTTGTTCTAGGACCATTGTAGCTTTAGTATATAATGTGCTGAAAACACTTATGGAGATGAATGGAAAACTGTTTGATGAACTCACAAGCTCTTATAAAGCAGAAAGACAAAGGTATTTACCTTATTCTAATAAGGATTGCAGATAATGTATCAGAATGCACCATCACGTGAAATTATGGTAGCACTCTTGTGGTATTCTTTGTAGTCTATGCAACCCTAAACAGACGGTTCAAAACCTTCTCAGAAATCCTTTCTTTTTAAAAACTATTTCTCTTAAGAAGCTTTGCTTAAGCTCTTCTGTCCTGCCCAGTATGCAGAAGACTTTGCTTTACATTCAGTGTTTGCTACTTTATATCGTATACTATTTTCCCATTGTAATTTTGCTTTTACCAAGGCCTTGTGAACTGGATATAATATAGGCCAGGGATGGGCAAGGTGAGTCAGGGAGGTTTCGTGCAGTCCCGGGGACCCCAAAATTCAGGCTTGAAGCCCACCAGAACACCAAGATTTAAAAGATATGTGTTTTGTGGCATTTGGAAGTGGCTTTTCATCTGAAAACTAGTTAGATTTGCTTCCAAATGGGCAACAAATATGGTGATTTCATTCTTCCAAACCCCAGGGCTTCTCACCTTCTGTGAACCCTTGAACCAAAAGATTGAACATCACTAAAAATGGTGAGCAAAAGTGATGTAGTGTCACTGCTGGAAGGATATATTTACCGAAATAAACAACATTATAGGATCAAATATTACGCCGGATGCTAGGGTTGCACTATTAATGGATATCACGAAGCTGAATGTAGAAACAAGAAAGAAAGAATTGGTGACTATTTTGCTCACAGTGGGAAGAATTATAATAGCAAAGAATTGGAAAATAATAACTAATCTAACACTGGACGCATGGTACAGGGAAGTTTGGAATGTAGCTTTAAATGACAAACTAACAATGGAAATGAGGGTATTCAGRGGGGAAATTAACAGGTCAGATYYTGAGGCATACTGRTCAGTCTTWGAGAKYAMAATATGTCTTMGAGAGYRAAAAWGGAAAACAACAGAATKTGGTTGGTCAGGAATTTTGSAGATGACATYTGATTAWGGGTKGCKTTATGAATACATRGTGAAGGAAATTATACATGTTCAGGCCTTGGTGGTGGGGTTATGTGTTTGTAAAATGTTCACTGTTTTGTGTTTTGTCTATTCTGTAAGTTGTTATTGTATGTAAATAAAAAATAAATTTAAAAAAACTAAAAATGGTGAGCAAAAGTGATGTAGTGTCACTGCTGGCTTACCAAAAAGGGATGGTGCCACCTGATGAGGGAATTCTAACCTAGAATTGCTGTAGGGCATCTAAATAAGGAGTTTGTGTTGTTGTGCTCAATATGTTATACTTTCAAAATTTCTAGCCACCCTTATTTTTGTTTTTATTCATAATTAACCAGTTTAGGTTAGGATCAAGGTATTTTAAACGTCACTTTCAGTCAGACAGTCTCATCCACAAGGGTCTTCAGTGGATGCCAATGTTAGAGGCATACACGATAGTGATATGATCATTTTGGTGACCGTTTCTGAACCGTGGATGTTTTTTGCCTCACACTCTTTAAATTTTATAAAAAAAACCAAATTTGCATATTGTTGCTTTGATGTATTTGTAAATCTTTCATGCTGTTCTCTATTGGTTTATCTATCTTGTTTATCTGTATATTTAATATTTGGAGTGTGAAGTTTTTGTTTACTTTCTAAGTCACCTAGAAAGCATTTCTCCCCAAAAATATATTGAAATAAACAATGTTTATCTATACAAGGAATTTACAGCTTCCTCAGTCCAAAGGGGGACTATTCTCCAACCATGTTTGTTGGAGGCTGATCACTTCAGCATGACCCTGTCATTCTTTTCCCAAGTAAACCCACTCCTAGCATTAAAGGAAACAATGTGCCTCTTAGGCATCTTCTGCATTAGCTCTGAGAGGCACACTGGATAGCTAGATGGACAACCTGGCAGCTGAGCTGCCCTTAACTACACTTGTGCCAGTCTCATGCTTCCTTCCCAGCAGTGCAATGGAAAGGCACCCCAGGCTCTGATACTCTACTACTGGCTTAGATATTGTATTGCATGTACAGCTGTTGGGCTAGACCAGAAGCAGTGTTTAGGTCACTGCACCTTCTTTTTTGGTAGACGTTGGGAGGACTTATGTGATGGCTGTGGCTGTAAGCTACCAGCTGGCTATCCTGAGCAAGAAATTGCTTTGCTGAGCAATTAATATCTGAAATTGTTGAAGAAAAGGCAAACTATCTCTCTGCTTGGTTGAGCCCATGTTCAATATGCTAATGTGTTTGTACATAATAAATAAATAAACAAACTTTATTTATACCCTGCCACCCTCTTCCTGAAGGAACATGGGGTGGCTAACATGCCAAAGCTCAAACAATTATAATAAAGCAAAAGTACATATAAAACAGACAATAACATGAAATAAAAATGCTTAATAATAACATAGTAATGCAGTAAAAATAACAAAACCATAAAAAAAACAAATGATAAAATGCTAAAGGAATTAGACATCCCCTTTTCTGTTTTGGTTTCTGGGTTAACGTGATTCTACATGAGTTTACAAAGCACATGGCCCTTTCATTCACCAGCATCAGGCAATTTATTATATAGTTTCATAGTCCACATTCCCAAAATCAGATGTTTTCCTTGCTTGAACCATCTTGCAGCTATAGTTTGCTCAGACAAACATGTAGTTCCAGGTATAAGTTAGCATGTTTGGAACACTTGTGGCTTTTAGCTAGCTTTTTAGCTAGTTAGCTGAGCCACATTAATGCTTCCTTTTGTTGCCTCTTCTTTTATGGCCCTTTATTTCTCTCTTTGCTTGAAACAAGCATTTTCCTCAGATTAGTCAGGTTACAAAGAAAGACATTGTTTTTCGATTTTTTTATTTCAAAATGTATTTTATAGAGACACATACATAGAGGCATTAATTGGTCCTCCAGCACGGGATGCTGGAAATAGTGTTTGGGAAGTTATTATCCTAATCCAGTCTACATTCTTTTCTCATTCTTTATCGTTGAATTCATTTTTATTGGAATAGTGTACAGATTAGTTGGGTGTACATTTGCATATTTGTTCATGTAAACAAGGATATTTGCTAAATGCTAAAGGATGACTTCTGAACCATAAAAGTAACTACCTCTCCCCGTTTTTAGAAATATTTGAATCTCCCATTTAATTAAACCACACATTCAGGCTTTTATTTTTCAGATAATGCCTTAGTTACATTCTCGCTTATTGTCTTTGGAATTGCTGTTTGTAAGCACAGAAGAAACTTCTTCATATGGAATAAGACCACTAGCTCTCCAATATTTTTGATACTGACTGCTAAGCAATAGAAGCTCATTAATATCCAAAACATTAAGCATCCCTAATGCTCCTCCTTTATCAAACTTACTCCTGCTTTATCAAACTAGGTATTTAAAGAATTGTTCAATTAATTGTTTTGCATCCTTGTAGAGAGAAAAAGAAGGAGCTAGACCGTGAAGAACTGTGGAAGAAGCTGGAAGAATTAAAGTTAACGAAAGCTCCGTCTGACCAGCTGAGTAATGCATCCTCCGTTTCCAATGCAACAAATGAAAAAGTGCCAAATGAGAGCAACAGCCTCGCTTTGTGAGGCATACCTTTTATATACAAGAGTTTTTTTAAATATGTAAAAAATACAAAAGAGAGACCTCAACAGTATATTTGAAATGGCCAATGTTTTTCCTCTGGCAAAATGTAAATGGAAATTTTTGAACTGAAATACAATAATTGAATGTGACATTATTTACCACAGCATATTGTAAATTTGTCTAATCATTGCTATATTGTCACTTCTGACATTTCACAGAAATGAATTCTATCATTCATGATGTGTGTGATTTAATTATGGGAGTGGTGAAAATTATGACTTGAATTTTTTTAAAATTGTGTTGCACATAGGCATAGAAGTCAACTATTTACATTTTCCCCATGTGCTTTTCACATTACTGCAAGCTTTGGCTAAGATTCTGAAAGAGACTTCTATACTATCACTGTATTTCTTCAAATGAAACCAAGGCTGTTGATCTATGCCTGAAACGGTGGGAGTGGGCTTCATTTAACTTAATGAAGTTTGCTTCTGAGTAAAGGTGCATAGGATTTGGTTGCAATTGTGCCTGGATGAGATGTTCTCCCATTTATCCATTACACATTTGAAAGCTATTGGTGCATAGAGTTTTCAGAAAGCAAAGAGACTATGTTTCTCTTCTGATGTCACAAAAATGATTACTGTTGGTCGTGGGGTGAGTCTATATGCCTTGCTCTCTCCTATATATTCCCAACACTATTCTTGGAGCCTGCACATACACACATATGTTGGTGACTGAACAACTGCGTCAGGGAACCTTTTCTGCTTGAGTAGACTCCTGATGAAATTTAGGAATCTGGAAGATTGGGGTTCTATGTGGTGTAAGCAAACAGAGACTCTTGGTTGCAGTTCATCCCGTAGTGTGCAAGTGGCAGCAAGAATAGCTATGTGTTCAGAGAAAGGTGTAGGTTTATTGTTTCAGCTAAGAGACACAAAATGAGAGGTAGCATATGTGAACGCCACTTAAATGTTGGGGAATCATCAGCTTTGACTCCAGGAATGCCTTGCTCCCATAAGCCCTCATGTGTTTTTTTACCATTTTATAACAGAGGACAAGAACCTATCAATGAAACTCATAATTTCAACCATTTTTATTAAGCTTGGCAGGTTTGCTTTCTACCTGGCTCAAGATAGTCCAGCCATTCACTAAAATCTTGAATTGTGCAATTCCATTCAGGCATCAAAACATCTTTGCAACAATACAGTTCCTTGCTCCGTTTCAAGGAAAATACAATGTACTTAACATGGCAAAAATGGCACTAGAGGTTTTGTCTGTTTTTACTAGATCAGGTCGGATGTTTTCTATCAGAATACCATTCCAGTCTCTATTGCAATTGTGCAGAAAATGGTTTTGTATTGAAAGACTGAGGGATTGAAAAGCATTCAATAAAATCTTTATGTTTGTAATGAGTGATGTATATTGCCGTCATTATAGCTGAATTAAAGTTGGGTTATATGGGGGCTGGAGGAATGTGGCCATCAAGGGGTATATTCAGATGAGTGGAGGGCTTAATGAAAATGTTGAAACCACAAATTTTGGGCTAGAACAGCTAATCACTATCAAACAGAGAGTGTGAAAACTTGGTGAATAAAATGGTGTTAGATCGATTAGATCTGTTAGTCTAGTTTTAGATGGTTATTGCTTTGAGTCCCCCTAGGGGTGAGAAAAGCGGTATATAAATACTGTAAATAAAATAAATAATAAATTGTGTGGAGAGAATAATTAGGTTTTTGGCAATGAGAGCAACTGGTGTCGTGAAATCCTCTTATAGTGCTGAAGCAAGGGGGATGTCGGGAGGGGGGAGTCTGACTACCCACGAAAGATATTACTACCACATCAGCTCTGGATTACTAAAGATGGTTTTCTGTGGGTGAGCAGATGGCGACTACTGGATGGCATATGTTCTGTATCAGAAACTAAAGCTGATGTGATCTATCCAATGCAATTTTCTGAATCAGCACCCCAAATAACCAAACCAAATCTAACGCCATCTTGAGCCCTCTTTAGGGTTGAGAAGGGCAGAGTATAAATGTGGTAAACAAACAAACAAACAAACAAAACTGATTTGTAACTCTTTTGGTACTAATGTTGGAGAGTGGTCCCTGATCAAAAAAGGTTGAGAATTACTGCTCTAGAGTATAGACTAGGAAATTCTTTGGCTTCACCAAGAAGGAGCTCCTGGTTGTGCATGACTGGAGCCTTTGAGTAATTTTTTTCCCTGTTTTGGGAGGTGTCTCCTAGTAAGTCAGAAAGTTTCAGCCAGGGCTCCTTGTGAAATATGCACAGAGGGTTTTTTAAAATTAGAATTTCTCTTCTGCCACCAATGTAATACAGAACATTTATCACTTTTGTCATCCTGACAAGGCTCTCATTTGGCTTAACAGAACTAGATTTTTCTGTTTTCCTTCATGCAGACAGAAACCTGAAAGGCGCAAAACTTTCTCAATTTAGAAGACTAATAAACAAGTATAAGAAGAAGTGAATTATAGCTCATAGGTAGAATTTTATTGAAAAACTTCAAACGTTGATAAAAAGTCATATCTTTTCAGTGTTCTGGCTTTCATACGGGGGTATTTTCATTTATACATTTATCAGCTTACCGTGTTCTTTTATCAATTATATGTTACTAAAAAGAGTACAGTACTGAAAGTATGATAAGCCTGGTATTGGGTGCCATAAAGCCAACTCATGATGATTGAAATTCAGAGACAATCTTGAAACATTTTCGTTAAATGCTATGAAAAATTGAATCAGCTCGGGTATTCAACTAGTACCACAGCTTTCCCTCTAATCTGGATGGCATATTTTGAGATTAATATCTCTTCATGGAAGTGGGGAGGAATAAAAACCTCTGAGGCTGTACTTGGTCCTCCTAGACCAGTGGTTCTCAACCTATGTTTAAGATGTTTTGGCCTACAACTCCCAGAAATCTTAAAGTTGGTAAACTGGCTGGGATTTCTGGGAGCTGTAGGCCAAAACACCTCGGGACTCACAGGTCAAGAACCACTAGACCAGTGGTTCTCAACCTGTGGGTCCCCAGGTGTTTTGGCCTACAACTACCAGAAATCCCAGCAAGTTTACCAGCTGTTAGGATTTCTGGGAGTTGAAGGCCAAAAACCTCTGGGGACCCCAGGTTGAGAACCGCTGCACTAGACCCTCAATTCAATCATCTGGCTTTCTCCAGATAACCATATTTTCTTCTTTGTGATACCATCTTTTAATGGTTTCCCATATTTTGTATATACTTTTTCATTCTAAAAGACTTTTTCAGCTATTTAGTGACAATAAAATATGCTGATATTTTTTGCATTCTCCCTTTGCCTTCTTGCCACTGGAATGTGGCCCTCAAGAACTTCTCTGAAACTCAGTGAAACTCTTGAACTGAAAAACACTCCTTCTCCCTTTCTTTTATGGTTATTTCCCTGAGACGACGTGTTTCAGATAAAAACTCTGCCTTGGGCACAGGGCAGAATTTATTAAATTCATTGTTCTAAACTCAGTGTGACAAGCCATTTCAACCCTGACAGATGTGTTTAAAAGAGCCCACTTCTGCCTCTCTATGAAATAAAGGCTCTGTCTATCCACATGTGAGTTTTGCTACAGAGATAAAATATTCTTTCAAAGATTTTCTTACTATTTAACAATAATCTAGTAAAGGAGTGTCCTCCCTCCCTCTATCTTTTAGTAGAAGTCTTTATAAAAGTTAGTAGCTCTCTAAAACGTCAAGTGTCAGGTTCATTTAGATTCCATCAAAGCAAGCAGCCCTTCTGTCAGTTCGGTTTTCCCCTCTGTGCAACTGCTCTACTGCTTTAATCTTACATTGTTTGTATTCTCCAGTGTAACAGGAAACTCCTCAGCATTTGATCCTCAGCTTATATGGTTCAAGATTTGACTTCTTCTCTTGAGGTGCCGTTTTCGTATTTTTATCATCCACTTCACACTGAGTTTAGCAAAATCTGCTGCTTTAAATAAAGCCAGGAAAACTCCACACAGAAGAGCGATCATGTTCCAAGGATTTGCAGTAACAATCTATGGAAAGAAATTAAAGGCGTGATTCCAACAGTTCCCTAATGCACACTCTGATTTTCGTTGCAAAATGTTTGGAGTATTCTTTGATTCATAGCTTCAATGTTTTTTAAGGTTCTGTGCTATTTTCAGATCTGTCCTCTGAACCAAGTAGAGAAAAGCTGTGTTCTTTTTCTACAGTCCCCCATTGCCTGGACCAAAATTGTTCTCTGCTATGCCTGGAGTATCAGCCCTCTGCAAATTTCTACTCTTTGGTTGCAATCTAATATATACTCATGTTAATACATATGTAGCTACTAGTCATGGGCCTGAAATTTGTCCCATTTGTTTCATTCGTGTTTCCGTTTAGTTCCGTCCATTCGGATGGCTTGAAACAGAAAGGCCCCTCCTGAAATGAAAATGCAATATATACGAAAGGCAGCTAGGCCTGCCTTTTGGATGGATTGCATGGGGCCTGGCAAGGCCTGCAGCCAAGCGCCGAGTATTTGCTGCTAGGCTGTAGGTCCTGTCAGGCCCGGGTGTGTAGGCCCAAAGCCTGCACCCATAGACCCAGGAGATTGGGTTTATTTGTGACCCCCCCCCCACACACACACACACAAATAATGTAATTGAAAACAGAAAACAAATACCTGACCTCCCGATTTCAGGAGGTTCAGACGAAAACAGATCAGGGCCCCCACCGAAAGACGGGACACGAAACGCATCAGCTAAGTCCCGAATGCACATCACTAGTAGCTACATCTGATGATGCAGAATTTTGGGCATGAATTTTCTACAGCTGCAGAAGAAAATAACAACCTGAAATAGCTAGTGATTTCACGATCACTGGATGGTTTCATCTGGTGTGAAATAATATCAGTATCAGCATTTACTCACATCCTGAACTTCTTGAATAAATGGGTCTTTCCACTCAAAAACCACAAAAAATAGTTGATCGCCTTCTGCTTTTGTCCTCCGTTCAATGTAGTTGACCACACTGATCTGAGAATAGGGGAAGGAGAGAAAGAGTTTTTATTACTATCGTGGAATATTTTTAATCACATATACAATATAATTAAAATAACAGCATCATTTGAAGTATTACTATTAAAAAGTAAACAATAAGGAACATCCTGAAAGGCCCTTTCTCCCTGAGAAATTAACATGCAGATGCTTGCTGAGAAAAAAGACATCTCTAGATATTGCTTGGCTATCAGTACAACTACAGTCAACTTCTAGCAGTAGCATACCATAAAATGGCCTGGAGGACCTAGAAAATGCTTAGAGTATTTTGTCAAATGTACTTAAATAAAACAGTGGTCCCTGCAGCATCATCGCCACCACAATTTGTGAGTCCTAGCCTTAAGTTGACTCAAACCGAGCACAAATCATTGCTTTGAGGATTTTGATCCTGGATCAGCATATGCTATTTGCTTTAAAACTTTATTTCCCATGTATTTATAAATGAGTGGGCCTTAAGATAATAGGAATCCTGAGCACTCGACTCTTATCCAAAGGAAACTTTCTAAAAACAGTTGCTAGAAATTGTACAGCTTGGGGAAATGGGGATCATGAGAAGGAGGAGGAAGATGGTTCAGGCAGCAAAAATGGCATGGCACACTGTCTGCCATTTCAATAAACCTTCAACACTTAACAAAGATGACACTCCACGTCACTGTTGTATCAAGCCCTAGTGACTTGAACAGGTTCCCTAGCAGTCCCTACTTTGCTTGGTTGCCAAGTTTAGCAAGAAAGCCTCACAAAAGCCCACGATTACCTCTTGTCTGAATTCAACTGTCTCCCTGCTATCTTCTTCTTTCGTTTTGACCAAAGACATTTTCACCCAGGTTCGGAAACCTCCGGAAAACTTCCAGCTGGAGTAGGAGCTCTCGCATAACTTCATGAATTCTGATTTGTTAGGGCTGCAGCAGGAAGGGTAGGGTTACTTTGGGAAATGAAAGGAAGTCACAATCCTTTGCTAATATAATATTTGGGGGAGGAAAAACAACAACAAGCAGAATGCTCTTCTTTCTGGCCAAATAACCCCCAACCAGTCCCACAGATCTGGAGCTGAAATCCTAATTGATATTCTACATCAGCTGTTCAGTTATGTTTTCATGTAATTTTTTAATATAAATAATTCTATTACGATATATTTCCACACAAAAAAAAAGCAATAAAAGAAATGGCAATTATCAGTCCTGCAGATATTGGGGTATTGAAAATAAAATCAGGTTCAGCCTTGCTAAAATCAATTCTCCCTAAATGGGGGACACCTGGATCAATAGGAGTATGTCTGAAAAAGATCCTGGAGTCATGGACAACAAATTAAACATGAGCCAACAATGTCATGCAGCAGCAAAAAACAAAACAAAAAACCAATGGCATTTTGTCCTGCATAAATAGGAGTATAGTGTCTAGATCCAAGGAAGTTATGCTACTTCTCTATTCTGCCTTGGTCAGACCACCCCTGGAATCACACTGTGTTCAGTTCTGAACACAGCAATTGAAGGGAGATGTTGACAAGCTGGAATGTGTCCAGAGGAGGGTGACTAAAGTGATCAAGGGTCTGGTTAACAGGCCCCATGAGAGGCGGCTTAAGGAGCTGGGCATGTATAGCCTGCAGAAGACAAGGCTGAGAGGAAACATGATGGTGATGTATAAATATGTGAGGAGAAATCATAGGGCTTGTTAACCAGCCTCTTGATGGGAGCAAGCTTGTTTTCTGTTGCCCCAGACACTAGGATGCAGAACAATGGCTTCAAACTACAGGAAAGGAGATTCCACCTGAACATGAGGAAGAACTTCCTGACTGTGAGAGCTGTTCAGCAGTGGAACCCTCTGCCACAGAGTGTGGTAAAGACTCCTTCTTTGGAGGCTTTTAAACAGGGGCTGGATAGCCATCTGTCGGGGTGCTATTAATGACATTATCCTGCTTCTTGGCAGGGGGTTGGACTGGATGGCCCATGAGGTCTCTTCCAATTCTATGATTCTATGTTGGCTCCTGTATGTTAACTACAGAGCCTCTGAAAATGCATATAGAGGAGATATTTCAATGACACACCAACAGCAGAGAGATCAAATATTCTCAAATATTCCAAGAGAACTGGATTAGAATTTCCATTCCGATTTCTTCCCAAGCATTTAATGTTAGTTCCCATGATGACTCTTTATGACAAATAGATCCACACATATTTTCATTGATGAATAATAGATGCTTGCTTAATCACCAATAGCATGAATTCCCCAACATCACAAGCCAAAAGAACAGTACTAAATTCTGCAAAGGAGACATAATTCTCACTTGGTCAGCAGCTCTGAAGCTGTAGAAGAAATAATTTGGGCTAGAGCTCTAAAACTGCCCAATAGGATCTTTGCAGAAGATACTGGGGAAATGTCTCAAAGTGCTGAAAAAACAGTTGCTTTATTAATATTGATTAATATTTGACCTATGTACACTCCCAAGGCATTCCTTGGGGGCTGGTTTGTATCAAATTTCAGGACCAGGAACTTTCCTGGACAACGTGTAAAAAGTATGTAAGTGAAGGCTGTTTCTCATTCTTAATCTTTGAAAGGATACTGCTGTACAAAGCTCTCTGGCACAAATTTTTATCTACCCGTATTAATAAAGCTACCGTCTTTATTAATACTGTCAGGCAATCAAATGTTAATCATGGTAGGTAATTGAAACATTCACACCTAGCTCCAACAGACAAGAGTTCTTTCTCCCACCCTGGACTTTTCATAGATATATAAATCCAATTTTCCTAGTTTCCAACAGACCTCATAACCTCTAAGGATGCCTGCCATAGATGCAGACAAAATGTCCGGAGAGAATGCTTTTAGAACATGGCCATATAGCCTGAAAAACCTACAACAACCCAACCGTCTTTTGATTTTCTTGCAGCACATCTCTTCTGTGGATTTCACTGGATACTTCCCAGTTTCTGCTTCTTTTACAGACACCTGAAAAGGCCAGACCATTTCCCACAGCTGCCCAAGGAAGAATGCCACTGCAGAACTCTTGTCTGGGAGTCATCACCGAGACCTGGCTGGATGAGCTGGGTGGGGTAAAATCTCACTCAGCTGTGCCCACCTGGCTTCGGGGTGCACCAGCAGGCTAGAGCCGGAGGGTGGGGAGGAGGGGTCGCAGTAGTCTTTCGGCAGTCCATCTCCGTGATCAGATGCGCTGTTCCGTAATCTCCTGGGTTTGAGTATGTCCACCTGAAGGTGGGAACCCGTGATAGCTTGGGGATTCTGCAGGTGTACCATCCACCCCATGACACAGCAGTCTCCCTGCCAGAGATCACAGATGTGGTCTCCAATTCGGTTCTGGTCTCCCAGCACTTGATTGTGCTGGGGGACTTTAACATTTATGCAGAGACCACTTTAACAGGAGCAGCTCAAGATTTCATGGTTGCCATGACGACCATGGGGCTATCACAAGTTATATCTGGACCCACTCATCAGGCTGGACATACACTTAACCTAGTTTTTACTGGGGACAGTGGAGTGGTCAGGGTGGAAGAGCAAAATATTCTTCCATTGTCATGGTCTGACCATCATCTGATCAGTTTTAGACTTGCTGTGACCTCTAACCTTTGCAGGGGTGGAGGACCAATTAAGATGGTCCGCCCCAGGAGACTGATGGATTCGGATGGATTCCTGAGGAATCCTGGGGCTCTTCCTGTCTTGGAGGCTGGTGATCCTGTCAATTCCCTGGTTGATCGCTATAATAGCGAGATGGCCAGGGTGATAGACACGATCGCTCTCGAACGTCCCCTCTCACTGCGCAGAGTCAAGCCATCTCCTTGGTTCAATGAGGAGATGAAGTGCACGAGAAGGGGTCTAGAGTGCATCTGGAGGAAATCTCGGGGTGTCTCCGACTAAGCGCAAGCTAGAGCCTCAATTAGTCCCATGTTAATAAAAGCCAATAACAGCTGCTTCTGGGCGTAATGTTTTTTAAAATGCAGCAAATTTTCTAGTTCTGGGGAGGGGCAGTTTAAAAAATATTTTTACAAAATCAATTCAGGAGGCACAGGAGTGGTATAAGCATGGTTCTTCGGGATCCTATGAGGAAGAGCGTGTTCTCCATCCAAAAATTCGGCTATTGTCCTCCACTGCTGTAAGGCATTTGAACTTATACTGCAGCATTAGAAATACGACTGTTCGTCTTCTTTTAGTCTATCCTTTGAGCATGTAATGTCACACAGCATCACTGGGAAACATACTTGACCATTTTTCAAGGTTTCCCCTTGACATTAAGTCTAGTCGTGTCCGACTCTGGGGCGTGGTCCTCATCTCCATTTCTAAGCCGAAGAGCTGGCATTGTCCATAGACGCCTCCAAGGTCATGTGGCCAGCATGACTGCATGGAGCATTGTTATGTTCCTGCCAAAACGGTACCTATTTATCTACTCACATGTTCATGTTTTTGAACTCCTAGGTTGGCAGAAGCTGGGCCTAATAGCGGGAGCTCACCCTGCTCCCTGGATTTGAACCATTGGCCTTTTGGTCAGCAAGTTCAGCAGCTCAGAGGTTTAACCCACTGCACCACTTTCTTATTGCTCGGGGTTTTTTTTTCATTTTTTTCTGCTGACATTTTTAATCAATTAAATTTCCCTTCTTTTTTTAAAAAAAGTATTTGCCATTTCTCTGTTAAGATTTTCCACATTCACTCATTCAAATTGTTCCAGTTTAGCATTGTTTATATTTTACGCAAGACATTACACTGTTCAATACGTGCCTGAAAGATTTGCACAGCCACTTTATGTATACCAGTCCAAATGACATCAAAAGCAATAGCTATGGCATCTTTCACCATGGCTTCATGTCAACAGATCTATGTTTGGAATTATAACAAGTCCAGTCAACCCCATAAGCACCTCTTTAAGACAACCTTTCAGCACTTTGCCAACAACTCAACAATAGCTGTGAATTTGTTAGCTTTCTTGGCATTCAAAAATGAATATTACCTGGAAAGGGCATTTATTAATATGATTGCAAAGTGGCTGCTTTTCTGCTCTCCCTTTAATTCCCATTCAAGTTATTTACTGAAGGAGACTTCTAATGGAAATATGATTAAACTGAAATAAGTGCTTTCCACAGCCTGCCTGCCTGGGTGCCTTAGCTCCATTACCAGGCCTAGTTGGGCCTCTTAATTATTCCTTCTCAGCCACTATGGTTGGAAAGCCTCTCCATACTCTGGCTAAATTGTGGGGTTACCAAGGCAGCCACGTATGCAATGTGGGAAGCCTAAAAAAGAAGTGTTAATTCTAAAGTATGATTCAGACTCAGCTCAATTTATATGGCTTCTAAATAGGCTATTACCCTGAAAAATCTTCTCAAGCAGAACACTTACAGCCTACTTTAAAGGCTGCCTAAATGGATCATACTTTCAGAGTTTGGGAAAGTTCCTTTTTTTAAATCCCCCAGCCACATGGTGTGGCACAAATCATTTTCAATGCCTCTCTCTTTGCAATGCTAGGACATTTGCAGAATGAAGGAAAGCCTCCATTGGAAAATGTACAATCCTTATTACTTTTGTCCAGCCTGTAGCTAAATGCCTGCTCCCCCTGCCCTGTTTGGAAATTAGGAAGGAAGATATTTTCATGAAATTTGCATAGGATGCACACTTTCTCTTTTTGTGTGTATGTATTTTTATTCATTTTGAAGATATAATAAAAATAAAAGTAAAGGAAAAGAAAAATAACTCTTCAAGGAGCAGAGAGAAGCAGCAAGTTTTCCCATAATTCAGGAGTGGGAAATAGAAATTGAGTCTCCCAGGTCTTTTCCTTTAAAACAGTTCCCAACCTGTGGTTCATGGACCACCAGTAGTCCGTAAGAACTAAAATATGGTCCACGGCCTCATAGTTACTACACTGTTGCAAGAAGAGCGACTGGTCTCACAAAACCCTCTTATAATGCCCAGGATTCCCCTGAGAGGGCCACATCTCACAATACCCGAGGCAGTCCTTTCATAGCCTGCCTTAGGTTTCACTTGGGCCTGTAAAGCCAAGAATAGGAAGATCAGCACCAGCCATCCTCAAAACAGATGGACCCCTTGCAGTGTTTGGTATATAATTTGAAGTCATAATAAGTTATTATATGTTTTTATGATGCAATGGGTTAAACCACTGAGCTGCTGAACTTGCTGACTGATAGGCTGGCAATTAGAATCCAGGGAGCAGAGTGAGCTCTTATTATTATTATTATTATTATTATTATTATTATTATTATTATTATTGCTATTACTACTACTACTACTACTACTATAGTATGTGGAGCTGTGGTGGCACAATGGGTTAAACTGCTGACTTGAAGGTCAGTGGTTTGAATCCGTAAGATGGCGTGAGCTCCCGTCTGTCAGCTTCCCATGGGAGACATGAGAGACATGAGAGAAGCCTCCCACAGGTTGGTAACACATCTGGGCATCCCCTGGGCAATGTCCTCGCAGACGGCCAAGTCTCTCACACCAGAAGCGACTTGCAGTATATTCCCAAGTCACTCTTGACATGATTTTTTTAAAATTAATATCAAATGCTCAGAGGCTAGTTTATGGTTAGGCTGGCAGCCAACCATAATCACACTGGTTCCCAAAAATATAGGATTTGACACAGGCCTTACTGCTCTTTTCCATGGGACAGAGTTTTCTGCCACCAAATGCAAAATGGGACTCTTGGGAACACTAAAATGAATTCTTTCTTTCTACCAATCTTTTGCAGTTGCCTCATCATGGGTGTTGGATTTTTAAAAAACCCATGCTAGTCTGCAATATCATTATGCAAAGGGATCTTATACTACCTTTGAGAGTAACTGAGAGAATAAAGTTGGTAGCATCAGCTTTCACATGGACTAAGTCTACTTCTGAAGAAATAGACTTAGTCCATGCTATCAACTTCATTCTTTCAGTTACTTTCTAAGGTGTTACAAGATCCTTTGCAAAGTAGATCCTGTAAGATTGCTTCCTCCATGTGCATGACACCACAGGCCATTCATTTCTGGGAAAGTAACAACAATAAGTGATAGGTTGTACCTGCTGAGGAACTCCTGGAATGAATTAAAAAGAAGGTAGTCTATTGCACTGAAATCCTGGTCTGTCTCGTTGAGGTGGAACTGCATGAAGACCAGTTCCCGCTTCTTTACATCCCGAGGCCCTTCAACAATGATGGCATGCTTCTGCAAGCGTAAGGAACAAAAAAGTTACACAGAAAGGGATCAGACTAGCTAAAAAGGAATCTTCGTCTCTTGTTTTAAAACACGTGACAGATTTGAACAGAATGAAGGAATTTGTTGGTGTTTTGAGGTCATTCAGAGCTCCCGCATCCTTCAAATTTCTGTCACTTGCAAGGAGAAAGGAAACACAATCAAAAGCAATAGTTAAAAGAAAATCCATATAATATTTGCTTAAGTGGCTGAGGGGGGAAAGGAAGGGTCCTTAGGTTGTTAGGTTGTTGAAGTCCAAAACACCTGGAGGGCCAAAGTTTGCCCATGCCTGCCATAACCTCACTGACCTTCCTGTAGTAAATGAGCTTGTAGTCTCCCAACACTGTTTCAAATACCTTCAAATGATACTTGGGAAGGAAACGAATTAACAAAGACAGCAAAGAAAATGTCACAATGCTTCCCAGCTCCACAGTGCAACAGACTTCAATCCCTTATTAATTATTACCTTGGTTTCGTTAGTAAAAGGAGCCGTGTAGTTCACCGTCTCTGTCAAGCATTCGATTTCTCCTGGCTGGCCTGGGTTCACCAGAGGAGGGATGTAATCATAGTAGTGATGCTTGCAGGTCAGGAGTTCAGCCTTGCCTGGGAAGAGGGCAATACCTGTCATGGAGAAAGCACGGTTAATTTAGCCAGTCAATTGAACTGCAAGAGCTCAATGTAAACCCACAAATAAAACTCTGCAACTCAAATATACCATGGCTTAAACAACATATATGTCAGTGGTTCAAATCCGGGGAGCGGGGCGAGCTCCCGTCTGTCAGCTCCAGCTTCTCATGTGGGGACATGAAAGAAGTCTCCCATAGGATGGTAAAACACCCAGGTGTTCCCTGGGCAACGTCCTTGCAGATGGCCAATTCTCTCACACCAGAAGCGACTTGCAGTTTCTCAAGTCGCTCCTGACATGGAAAAAAACAAAACAAAACAAAAAAAGCAAAACAGATTGACTCTCCCTTATCTGAAGATCTGAAATACACCAAAGCTTGACACTTCCCCTCCTACTGTCTTGAAGAAAGGGGGCTAGCTACACACCCAGGTTCTGCTGAGTTTTTCCTTGAGGGGTTCTAATGGAAGAACACACCCTGAAAGTTGAGATGGCCAAAACATTAGGCTGAACCAAAGCTTGGAATATTGCTGCTTAAAATGAAATGCTGCCATTATAGGTTTTGTTTTGTTTTTTTCATGGCAGGAGAAACTTGAAAAAACTGCAAGTTGTTTCTGATGTGATAGAACTGGCTGTCTTCAAGGAGGTTGCCCAGGGAACGCCCAGATGTTTTGATGTTTCACTATACTTGTGGGAGGCTCCTGACACACACACAAAATGCAATTAGAGTCTCAATAAAATTAAAAACCATTAAACAGAGAAAGACAGACAGACAATACAGTACACTATGCAAGGCCCCTTCTCCTTGGAAAAAAAGACTTCAAAGAGCTGATGAAAACAAAAAAAAAAGTCTTCATTTGTATGCAGAAAAACATCAAGAAGAGTAACAGAAAAATTTCCATCATCTCTTTCTATAATTCTCATAATCTCTTCCCATTGGTCATGCTGCTTAATGCTGATGGGCATTACAACTCCAAGAGCATCTGGAGGACCTTAATTTGCACACCTCTATGGTGGCATGTGGCATTAACATATGAGTCCGAAGCTCCCGGTGGTGCAATGGGTTAAACCCTTGTGCCAGCAGAACTGCTGACCAAAAGGTCTGCAGTTAGAATCCAGGGAGTGGGGTGAGCTCCTGTCTGTCAGCTCCAGCTTCTTATGCAGGGACATGAGAGAAGCCTTCAACAGGATAGTAAAACATCCGGACATCCCCTCGGTAAAATGTTCTTGTAGACAGCCAATTCTCCCACACCAGAAGCAACTTGCAGTTTCTCAAATTGCTCGTGAGATGAAAAAAACAACATGTGAGCCAAATTCATTTCCACAAGTGATCCCCAAATCTTCTTGGTTGCTCTGAAAGAAATGCCACCCCATCCGTTTCTGGACCCCATTGGAAAGAGCAAAAAGAGAATTAAACAGCATTTATCCACTCTTATCTTGCACAGCCACCTGAGAAAGTTGCTATGATTAATATAGGTTGAGTATACTTTATCTGAATTGCTTGGAACCAGAAGGGTTTGAGATTATTTTTATGTTTTTGGAATACTTTGGTTTGCATATGAGATATCTTGGAGATGGTACCCAGATCTAAACACAATATTTCATATAGGTTGGTAGAAGCTGGGGCTAACAGCAGGAACTCACCCGCTCTCTGGGTTCAAATGCCAACCTTTTGGTAAAAGTTCAGCAGCTCAGCAGTTTAACCCACTGCACCACCAAGGGCTCCAATAATAATAACAACAGCAACAACAACAACAACAACAACAAAGCACAACAAAACATTGACAAAATTGAAAGAGAAGTTAATAAGGAGAAGACCTGGTTATGGCTCATGAATGGAACCCTGAAGAAGGAGACAGAAGGCCTGATTCTTGCAGCCCAGGAGCAAGCCACCAGAACAAATGCAATTAAGGCCAGGATTGAAAAATGCAGACTGTGCAAGGAAGCTGATGAAACCATGGACCATATCCTCAGCTGTTGCAAGAAAATCGCACAGATGGACTACAAAGGCACAACTCTGTGACCAAATGATTCACTGGAACTTAAGTCACAAGTACCACCTGCCAGCAATAAAGAATTGGTGGGATAATAAACCTGCAAAGGTAGTGGAAAACGAGCACGCAAAAATACTGTGGGACTTTCAAATCCAGACTGACAAAGTTTTGGAACACAATACATCAGACATCACGATTGTGGAAAAGAAAGAAGTTTGGATTATTGATGTCACCATACCGGGTGACAGTCGCATTGAGGAAAAACAACAGGAAAAAGTCAGCCGTTATCAAGACCTCAAAATTGAACTGCAAAGGCTCTGGCATAAACCAGTACAGGTGGCGGCCCAGTGGTCATTGGCACACTGGGTGCCGTGCCAAAAGATCTCAGCCGGCATTTGGAAACAATAAACATTGACAAAATCACGATCTGTCAACTGCAAAAGGCCGCCTTACTTGGATCTGCACGCGTCATTCGAAAATACATCACACAGTCCTAGACGCTTGGGAAGTGTTCGACTTGTGAATTTGTGATACGAAATCCAGCATATGTCTCATTTGCTGTGACATACTATGTCTCATTTGCTGTGACATACTATGTTTTTGTGTCAGCAAAATGATGATGATGATGATGATGATGATGATGTCTGGAATGGATCTAACTGTAAAATTAATGCAGTTTGTCACCAAATTAACTGCCATGGCTGAATGCCATGGAATCATGGGTGTTGTCATTCTGCAAAGCCTCTAGCTTTCCGTTAAAAAGTGCTGGTGTTACTGAACGGTAAATCCCAAGATTCCATAACATTTCGCCATGGCAGTTAATTCTGCATTAATTCATAGCCCAGATGCACCCTAGATCACGAGCAGCCAAAGAGTCGCCCTCCAGCTTAGCGGAACTACAACTCCCAGCATTCCTGAGCAACAACTACGTTGGCAGCTGCAGCTCAGCAACACCCAGAAGGCCATGATTTGCCTTCCTCAATCCAGATAATCCAATTCATGCCAAAGCCTGGACTAGAACAAATAAGCCCCTACTTGCTTGACCCAGTTGCTAAAACAAGAAAACTGGAACGTGTTTGAACGTTCCTAACATACAGGTGAGCTGACTTCAGCTTCTAGGATCTACTTCTGTGTTTCACTAGAATCCCAAGATTCACCACCTTGATAAGAATTAAAGTTTCAGAAGGAGTACCATAGTTATTCCTGGATTCCCATGTTTTATCTCAATGCTGTAATTTAGGACAAAGGTGTCGATGGAGGTAATTTTTTTGCTGATTCACACCAATTTCCTACTTTGTCCTTTTCTGACCAAAAGGTAAACAAGGGAGGTAATTCCAGCGACACTCTTCAGATCATTTCTCATTTCTCTCCTCAGTACTGTATTAATAATTAGCACCAGCAAATTTGCTGGGGTGGAAGAGGAGGCCAGGAAACCTTCACTAGTTATGGGGACAAGGGTCAAACGGCTCCGAAGACTTTACTCCCATCCTTTTTGCACCAAGAACTTGTAACTATATCTCAAGATCTAATGGTCAATCTCCAAAACGTTCACTGTAGCCTGATTGCACCTAACAGAACACACAATTAATCTGTTTTTTAAAATTAAATATTAGGGCTTAAATAAATAGACAGAACAAGATCTTTCTCATACTACACCAGTGTTTCTCAACCTGGGGGTCGGGACCCCTGAGGGGGGTGTCAGAGGTGTTGCCAAAGACCATCAGAAAACACGGTATTTTCTGTTGGCCATGGGGGTTCTGTATGGAAAGTTTGGCCCAATTCTCTCATTGGTGGGGTTCAGAATGCTCTTTGATTGCAGGTGAACTATAAATCCCAGCAACTACAACTCCCAAATGTCATGGTCTATTTCCCCCAAACTCCATCTGTGTTCATATTTTGGCATATGGAGTCTCCACCAATGTTCACATTTGGGCATATTGAGTATTCATGCCAAGTTTGATCCAAATCTATCATTGTTTGAGTCCATAGTGCTCTCTGGATGTAGATGAACAACAACTCCCAAACTCAAGGTTAATGTCCACCAGAATCTTCCAGTATTATCTGTTGGTCATGGGAGTTCTGTGTACCAAGTTTGGTTGAATTCTATCATTGGTGTAGTTCAGAATGCTCTTTGATTGTAGGTTAACTATAAAACCTAGCAACTACAACTTCCAAATAATAAAATCAACCCCCTCCATCCCCACCAGTATTAGAATTTGACCATATCGGGTGTTTGTGCCAAATTTAGTCCAGTGAATGAAAATACATCCTGCATATCAGATATTTACATGACGATTCATAACCGTAGCAAAATCCTTGTTATGAAGTAGCAATTAAAATAATGTTATGGTTGGGGGTCATCACAACATGAGGAACTGTATCAAGGGGTCGCAGCATTAAGATGGTTGAGAACCATTGTACTACACTGTTACAGCACTTTGATACTATTTAAATAACTAAGGTTGCATTCTACAGATTCCTGGGATTTGTAACTTGATGATACACTGAACATCCGTGGAAATACAGATTCTTGGAATCCATAGAAAAGAGACAGGAAAGTCAAACTGATATCAAGTGCTATCATTTTGTCGTATGAAATATTCTCAAGTAGACAGTCTAGCCATGCCTTATCCTCTCGTACGATGAGAAGTGAGGCCAAATCTGGTCTTACCTGGTGCATCATAAGTGGGCACCTCCTTGTAAGAGACGGACATCACCGGGTGCTTGAGCTTTTCCCTGAAGTCAGCAATGGTTTGGTAGACCAGGAAGATGGCGACGGCCATCAGCAGCAGATAGATGAAGAGGAGAATTACGGAGAAGACATTCTTTAGGCAGGACTTGCTGAAACGTGCTGAAGCACTGCCGCCGTCTAGGACTGAATAAGACATTCACCTGAACCTTAATAAACATCAGATCATATGGAGTCAGAATTTCAAGATATCTCATTTTGAAGACAAAGGAACCTAAAACTGAGGAGGGATGTGAATGTTTCTGTGTCTACGTGCAAATTCTATTTTTTCCCTGCAGAATGAGCAGCTATGTGTTGGCAACTTATTCCCTCTTCCATGCAGCATTACTAGTCCTTTCCTTGGGGAGATGTAGTTGCCTCCTGTGCCTTCAAGTCATCTGTTGACTTTTACCAGACCTGCACAACCTGTGGCCCTTCGGGCATTTGGCCTCCAAATCCCAGAAACTCCAGCCAGCTGTTCTAAAACATCTGGAGTGCTGCAGGTTGTGCCGTCCTGACTTATAGCAACCTTATGACTTACAAAGAGTTTTCTTAGCCCAGGAATACTCAAAGGAGGCCTTGCCAGTTCTTTGCCTCTAAAATACAGTTGGCTCTCTGCACTTGCGGGTTTAACTTGTGCAGATGTGATTATTTATGGATTTAATTAATATGGGAATCTAGGAATTGCTAGGTCATTCAGTCAGATTCTATAGTCAAGTCTTTAAGAAGTGTTCTCTCAGGAATAAAAATAGCATTTTTAAAAAAATTCATTATTTTCCCAATTTTAGGGGGTGGCTTAGGCTCAAAGCCAGCAAATGCAGAAAGATGTGTGCACATCCTTTGGCACTTGGTATTCGTTGCTGTTTCCTATCCAAATATTAACCAGGGCTGACCTTGCTTAGCTTCCAAGATCAGACAGGATCTGGTGCTTTAATGGTATCTAGGCATAAAAAGAACACCCAATAGTGGCCTAGGCTGCTCATACAACTAGATACACCAGGTTCAAACTATCCAGGATCAGTAGCTCTCACCTGGAAGGATGGCTGAGCTTGCATCTTCTTGATCGTCTTCTTGTTCCTCGGATGGCTCAACATTTACAGCTGCCTGTTCTACTTCGTCACTCAGCTACAATTCCAAAATACAGAATTAGTCCCAATCACAATGTTCATACTAAGGAGGTGGGGTGGGAAAACAGAAATAATTTCTATAATCAAGATTATTTTTATTTATATCCAATTATTATTTGTATGGTCTCCCTGGTGGCACAGCAGGTTAAACCACTAAGTTGCTGAACTTGCTGACTGAAAGATTGGCGGTTCAAATCTGGGGAGAGGGGTGAGCTCCTGCTGTTAGGTCCAGCTTCTGCAAACCTAGCAGTTTGAAAACATGCAAATGTGAGGAGAGCAATAGGTATCACTTTTGCGGGAAGGTCAATGGCTCATAGTAGATAGTAGAGGCAAAGATGAAGTACTTTGGCCAAATCATGAGAAGAAAGGAAAGCTTAGAGAAGACAATGATGCTGGGGAAAATGGAAGGAAAAAGGAAGAGGGGCCGACCAAGGGCAAGATAGATGGATGGGATCCTTGAAGTGACTGGGTTGACCTTGAAGGAGCTGGGGGTGGTGACGGCTGACAGGTAGCTCTGGCATGGACTGGTCCATGAGGTCATGAAGAGTCAGAAACGACTGAATGAATGAACAACAACGGCACTTCATGCAGTCATGCTGGCCACATGATCTTGGAGGTGTCTATGGACAACGCTGGCTCTTCAGCTTAGAAATTGAGAGAAGTACCAACCCGCAGAGTCAGACACGACTAGACTTAATGTCAGGGGAAACCTTTAATTTACCATTATTTATATCCAATGAAGCAATTCTTGTGCAAATTCAGTAACATCTCCCTGGTTTAATCATGAGTTATTTCAGCTGCAATGCCTTCCATTCCTGTCACCACCAACTGAACAGCGATGACATCAAAAATAAAATGAAACAAACATCTACAGGCCACGGCTTCATTCTATTCTGACTCCATAGCCCAAAATAACAAAGGAACGGACACCTTTCCAGGCAGATGTTTTCCTGCTTCGTTGTTCAAAGCCCTCGGCCCAAAACGCCAAGACATTTTTGTCAATGTCGCAAGCTTGTCACATCTGATAGATGTTGCTGCACAGCATTTAATCCCAAAATGGATGGAAAATAACTGGTGGCATATCACAACAAACCCCGCTTCCTTTGGTTCCTTCCCCTCACATTCTTTTCTCTCCTGGTGTCCTGAAGCAACAGGGAAAGAAGCTCCTGACCTTTGCATTCCTTCCCCTGTCATTTCCTAAACAAAATAAATACGATGTTTAAAAGAAGTTACTGTTTTTTGCTGATTGAAACTTTTAAAAGCTGTTTTCTAGGGCAAATTATAAAGGACTTTTTAAAGGACTTGTTTCAAATTACTGGAATGCTATAGTTCAATTGCATTTTAGCATTCCGTCTATGGCTTGGTCCGTGGTTCCCTCTGTATGTGTTTAGTGCAGTGGTTACCAAACTTCCTAATGCCGCAACCCTTTAATACAGTTCCTCATGTTGTGGTGACCCCCAAGCATACAATTATTTTAATTGCTACTTCATAACTATAAGTATGCTACTGTTACGAATCGTAATGTAAAGATCTGATATGAAGGATGTATTTTCATTAACTGGACCAAATGTGGCATAATTACTCGATATGCCCAAATCTGAATACTGGTGAGGTTGGAGGGAGGATTGACTTTGTCCTTTGGGAGTTGTAGTTGCTGGGATTTACAGTTCACCTACAATCAAAGAGTATTCTGAACTCCTCCAATGATGGAATTGAACCAAACTTGGCACACAGAACTCCCATGACTAACAGAAAATACTGGAAGGGTTTGGTGGGCATTGACCTTGAGTTTTGGAGTTGTAGTTCACCTACATCCAGAGAGCACTGTGGACTCAAACAATGATGGATCTGGACCAAACTTGGCACGAATCCTCAATATGCCCAAATGTGAACACCGGTGGAGTTGGGGGAAATAGACCTTGGCATTTGGGAGTTGTCGTTGCTGGGATTTATAGTTCACCTACAATCAAAGAGCATTCAAAACCTCATCAATGATAGAATTGGGCCAGACTTCCCACACAGAACCCCCATGACCAACAGAAAATACTGTGCTTTCTGATGGTTTTTGGTGACACCTCTGACCCTCCCCCTCGCGACCCCCCCCCCAGGTCAAGAAACACTGGTTTAGTGAATGGTTTTGAGCCATAGATTAGGTGGAAAGGCTCCATATATGTCAATAAATAATAGCAACCATATCAAGTTGACTACTCATATTAACTCCAATGAGACAACACATGTGGATTGGATAATTCAAGCATGCATATACATCAGGCATGGGCAAACTTTGGACCGCCAGATTTTTGGACTTCAGCTCCCACAATTCCTAACAGCATCAGGCCCCTTCCTTTCCCCCCGCAGCCTCTAAAGTTTGCCCATGTCTGATATACATTCTGCCTTCTGAATCCATGGGATCCATATCTGCAATTTCCAGCAACCATGGATCTTTGCATCATATCTGTATTCATGGTGACCACATAAAACACAAATATGATGATGCATGCAACAAACGAAGACTTAATCCAGACAAGATCAGTCACAAGGCCAATTGAGGTATAGGATGACAACTTGAGCTCGATGGGCTTCCACCCACCCCCCACCCCCTGAGGACACAGGTCTGCAATCTGGATGTCCTCCTGGACTCATTGTTGACTCTTGAAGCTCAGGTGTTGGCGGTGGCTGGGAGGGCCTTCGCATAGTTAAAACTTGTGCACCAGCTGTGACTTTACCTAGAAAAGCCTGACTTGGCCACAGTGCTCCATGCGTTAGTTACATCCAGAATGGACTACTGTAATGCACTCTACATGGGGCTGCCTTTGAAGACAGTTTGGAAACTGCAATTAGTGCAAAGGTCACCTGCCAGATTACTAATTGGGGCTAGCTATAGGGAACATACCATGCCCCTCCTAAAACATCTCCATTGGTTTCCAACAAATTTCCGGGCTCAATTCAAGGTGCAGGTTATGACCTACAAAGCCCTATACACTTTGGGTCCAACCTATCGATGAGACTGCATTTCTTTCTATGACCTGGCACAGGCTTTGAGATCTGCAGGGGAGGCCCTTCTCTCGGTCCCACCACTGTCTCAAGCGTGGTTGGTGGGGATGAGAGAGAGGACCTTCCCTGTGGTGGCTCCCTGGCTCTGGAATATCCTCTCAAAAGAGATTAGATTAGCCCACACCCTTTAATCCTTCCAATCCAGCCTAAAAACATGGATTCTTAAGCAGGATTTTGACCTCGAGGATGCGTAAATGGGTCCATATGAGGTTGACACTCTGGCACTTTAGTTGTGAATTGATGGCAGCTAGTTTAAACTACCGATGGCCTGCATTTTTTACAATTTTGTTATTTTATTTTTCTATGTGTTGATAGTGGTGGTTTTTATAATTTCATGTGATATTGTTTTATACTCATGTACCATTTTTGTTACGATGCACTTGGAGTGCTTGTAAGCCGCCCTGAGTCCCTTTTGGGAGATGGTGGTGGGATATAAAGTTATTATTTGAAACACAACAAGATGAGTCCACAGCAGACACTCTGCTGGATGTTGTACTGGATCACACATCGGTCACTTCCCAAGTGTCTAGGACTGTGTGATGTATCGGCGAATAATGTGTGCAGATCCCAGTAAAGTGGCCTTCTGCAGCTGGCAGATGGTAATCTTGTCAGCACTGATTGTGTTTAAGTGCAGGCCAAGGTCTTTAGGCACTGCACCCAGTGTGCCAATCACCACTGGGACCACCTTTACTGGCTTGTGCCAGAGTCTTTGCAGTTTGATCTTTAGATCCTCATATCATGTCAGCTTTTCCAGTTGTTTCTCTTCAATCCTGCTGTCGCCTGGGATTGCAACATCAACAATCCATACTTTGTTGTTGTTGTTATTGTTGTTGTTATTTTAAAAAAATCCAAACTGCACATACTCTGATAACTTATTTCCTTCTAATGAAACAGTCAATGAGAAATCTCTAGTGTACCAGGAATACAGAAGCATTTTTCCTGCATGGAATAACATTGGGAGGTGAGTTGGAATATCACTTCTGTGCTTCATACATGGATCTGTAAAGAACCTCCTACTATTAAATTTAGGTCCATAGTTAGCTTTGTTAGTGTCTGCCTTTAAGTGGTTTAAGGGAGACCCTAAGAAGAACCTATCACAGGGGTTTCTTGCCAAGATTTGTTAAATGGGGATTTTGGCTTTGGTAACGTCACTCTGTGAGTTTCCATGGCTGAACCCTAGTCCGTAGAGCCTTGGCCCAGTTCTCAAACCACTAACTACACCATACTGGCTTTTCAAAGTTAGCTTTCTGCGCTATTATACCTACAAGACATATTTCAACAAGCAGTTCACTGTGAAAGGGAGAACGGTAAAAGTCGTATGGAGAGTCATTTACCAATTAATTAGCTTTTAATCACAGATTAACCTCCTCTAGGGAAGCTGAAGGAGTTGTGAAGACTGTCTCCTGATGCAGAACTTATCCTAGATGAGAGGCAAACCATAATTTTTTCAATCCTCTCTCCAATGTAAGAATAGTAGTCTGCTTTTCAAGGCTGTTGTAAGGTTTGTTGGGATTAGATTTTCCTTATTCTTTTGCTTCCCAAGGGATCCATGTGCTCAGGTTAATACTACCAATCTAAAGTCATTCTTTTCATTTTTCCCATTCATTTTCCAGACACCCTGAGACTTCATTTACACCATGCACAGACTAACCCAACTGAAGCCTGTATCACACTTCCCTCTTCTATTTTAGGACTGTGGGCTGATATTTTTCCCCCTATACAAATGCTGCCCAGAAACATCCGTTTCTCACTCTCTTTGTGTGTGTGTGCCTTCCTGCCACCCCACCCCTGTCCTCACCAAGGTCCTGACATATGGTGAGATGGAGACAATGTTTGTGAATCACTTCAAATGCTTAACGCGTTGAGAATCGCCTGGTGTTCGGAGAACAATGTCATTGCTTATTTAACCAACATTCACAGGAGAGAGGAATCCGCTGCTTTGGG